AATATAAGACAATGATCGCAGACATTACATATTCAAGATGTACCACACTGACGCTTAAATCGTTTTTTAAGCAAATGTGCACACATACATAAAGTTATAGTTGTTTCCAGCATGTCGATCTCCGTTAACTTCAGTTTGATGTGGATAGATGCTTTTCTTACAGTTCTCTCGCTATAGTTACCGTCGTATTCCTGTTTTTATGTCTGCTGTTAATGTAACTACAAAAAATGTGCTTATTATTAGTTCTCGACGAGTCGGTACAGACCTTTACATCTTATCCGGGACAGTTTGACCTTTTAGAAAAAGGTTGAGTTAGCTTGCGCTACCCGCGATTATATAGGTATAACGTATGTTAAAACTCCTTTTTTATGTTTGGCGCACTTGTTAAAGGAGACAGCATTGAGATCTTCTATTCTATCACAAACACATAAGGGAGAAATCTTTGGAGCTCGTACTTTTAGCATTTGTAGTTCAGTCCATCGGATAAAATTAAGCTCTATAAAACCATTTACGTATCCGAAATAGGGATTGGGGACGAGGCATTGGGTTGCAGTGTCTATGTTTACATAAAAAGTGCTAGTATGTAGCTTGTATTGAAGCTGTTTGTTGATGTTATTCACTTACTAAACAAATGAACTTGAAATACAAAAAGGGGCCATTCGTGGTTGGTAACGCCGTAAAACACTAAGCAAGTTCTACGACTCATTATAAACTCATGATAAGAATAAAATATTGAGAGAGCTTGATCTACTGACAAAAAACTCGATTTATCTCATCTTAATACCCGGTAAATTTTAGAAAAATGCTAGATTCACCGCCCTTTTTTATTATCACCAAATTTAATTAGTTCCAACACACCAAACCTTTTGATAAAATAATTAAAAGCGTACCATTATATACCAATTACCACCACATCACCCCCCGTGTTTAATAAAGATTTTAAAATAGAGCACTCACGATTTGCTAAAAAAAGGCCAGTAACGGTTTCAAAAAGATCAATTTATTTAATTTCTATTTATTCCTCACAGTCGTGTGCGACTTGCCATTCGATCTGCTGAGCAACATAACAAACATTTTCTGTATTACAGTGCCTTTAGTACTTCCTGTCAATGTAGTGTGCGTCGTAATACGTCCATGAAGTTGATCAATGTGCTTTGACCACGTAAATTTGATGACTTGCATAAATATATTCTTACATCATTTCAAGAGCTTTACAAAGTCCTCTTGCTCAAGGTTAACCTACTGGAAGAATTCAATGCTTTGCAACGCTTCAAAAATCTGCAGAATCCGGACCGTTAGCCTCGCATTCAATGGGATACTGATCACCGCCGCTTGTGGCGTCGCATCTTTAGTAATGTAAACACGTCGCTCTTACCACGTGCGCGACTTTCTGACGCTCGTAATAAAGTCAGTGATGATATCCACCTAAATTTTCTCAATCACCACCCACAGCAATAACAACCAATCCCCAATACATTGTCCAGTCTCAATCTTCATCCTTGTACTCGTCGTCGCTCGTTTCTCGTGTGGTGGGCGCTGGCGAGTACGCAATAGGTTCAACTTTTCATTGAGTTTTTTTAAACGGATATCTAAGGATGGGTGGTGTCCTCTTGACCAAGTTATGATGGACTATGATGCAGATATTATGATTTATCGACCTAAAACTCGAGGGTGGCTACCGAAAGCGTAGGATCCAGCAAGGAAAAAAATATCGTGTGTCGGAGTGTGAACAAATTGCCTGCTTCCTTTGACTTATTTCGACACTTAATATAATGTTATAGCTGATACAGTCTCCTAATATCAGTATTCAAGAGCGTGTGGTGGTGTGGTAGTGTGGTACGGTACGCTGAAATCTATTCGATCAAAAAATACGCTTCGGTGGAGATAGTAGATATTGTGGTGGAAATAACAATTCCTACATTTAGTACCTAGACTAAAGACCAATTTACATATTCTGGTATCAAAATGTGTGCGAGACATTCTCCGCTCCTACGTGTATAGCAGTTTCTTGTTTATCTTCTGTCCGTCCCTTATCACATTACAGCCAATCACTCTTGCGCATTGGTGCACGTATAAACGTTTCACACGTTACAGTCTCAATATGTTTTCTGATTCGAAAGTGCCAACTATTATGGATATCGACCTCACAAGAAGGCATAAATGATAAATGTTATTGAGCACCCTAAGTTTGGGGTGCCACGAAACTTCGCGTATACTAGTACATGCAGAGGAAGCTTAATTATTCAACAACTATGTTGAGTAAATGGTAAAAAGAGAACTGTATTTAATACAGTTAAGCTATCAATATAACTTCAATCTTGATCCAACTATATTAAACTACGTCGTCGTATGACGACAACCTGCTCACCACTTATTACGCGCGTCTAGCAGCGATTAGTGGTAACCTTGGTTAATATTTCTTTTTAACCAGTCTTCGAGCAGCGTATACATATTTTTTTACGGAGGGGATAATATTCCTTCAGTATCATCCATCCCGGATAACATTGGTAGAATATTGTCAACTAGACAATCTCCCTATTGACACCGTTTAATGCCAATGTCATGTAACGGATACCCCGTTACACCCCCTCCTTAGCCATTAATCACCCGTTGATTGAATATAACTGATCGGGAAAGGGTGACCACCGTTAAATCACTCTGGGAAGGGGAGCACTTGTTGGTCAAATTCCAAATCATTTGCCAATTCATCGCATGGAGTCAAAGTCCGCGCGATGTACTGCCGATGCAGCAAGAAAAGCGGTTGCAAGCACGCTTGCGGTTAGAGAGGGTTCTACTCTTGCTCCAGCAGCAGGTGATCCTTCGCCTGCTGCGACTAGTCCACGTGTTGAGTCACCACGTGCGACAGATACATCCGCTGAGCCAGCAGCGGGTGTTGCAACTCACAATGTAGATGAGTCTGAAACCAGAGCTCATATATTCTGGTGAGTCGGATGATGCATCCGACTCGAAGGCGACACCTCACGCCTCCGGGTCATCCTGGGCGGACACTGCAAGAGCCAGGTTGACTGGCTTTGAGGAATGTGGCGGCATCATGTCCGAAATCTTCGGACCGAGTGATTCTTTTGACGAATCCTCGCCTCGCCCAAGTCTATCCGACGAAAGGACGCGTAGTGATGGTGGTGATGCCCCTATGCATCACCACGAGAGACGCAACTCGAGAAATTGAGCTGTCACTGGTGTCAGTGCTCAAGCTGACACCACTCAAGAGGCCAGGGACCGCAGTATCCTGCGCCATGCTTCTAAAGTGGATTCTCCTTGGGAGCAGTCATCCAAGGGGTAGATCGAGTGGGAGGCATGACCAGTAAACTGGATCGAATCCCGTTGTTCGACTGTAGGAAAATTTGCCCACCTGATACCAGCACGGAAACTATCCGTGCTGACGAAGAGTTCTTCACCGATGCGTTTTTTAACATCGGTAGTACAATGGAAATCGTGGTCGAGGCGGTAAGGCCTTGGTGTAAAGATGGAACGCCCTCATCCACGATATCTAGTGCATTGGCCGTGAGGACTGGCTCGGTAAACTTGATGCAGCTCGCATCAGGTTTGAGAAACGCAACCCCGTAGGGACGCGATACAAGTTGCACCGGCTGTCAAGAAAGGCAGGATTACCCTGTCTTTCGTGGGGTGATTCGTGTCCAGGTTGCCTGGACAACTCGAATCTTGCCCCATGGGAGGCCTTTCTCCCTATTGTTCCCAACTGGAGGGCGCGCATCTCTTCCGAGATGGCCAAAGGGATTGACACTTTGCAATTCCTATATTCGCGTTCGGGGAGTTCGTTTTCCGACGGCCCTTCTTCGAACGCAGCGGGTGTGTCTCGTCATATTGCTCGACGAGACCCAAGATATCAACAATCAGCTGGGCTCGAGGCTCCCACCTGTCCCAGGCCGGCGGATAGCCACGCCAGCGGACGAGGTAACTCTTTCGGACGCCTTTCAAGTCGCGAATGCTTGAAATATGATCTACCAGAAAGCGTTGACTACCGTTGGAATAGACTTAATAATGTGGTGGCGGTGGGAACACCTGGTCCGGTCGAGGGTCGGATCAAGTTGACGTTCAAGAGCTGAACCGTATAACTGAACAGTTGCAATATGACCTGGCTCAAGAACGATCTCGGCGTTATGGGCCTGAAGATCGTGTGAGGGATAATTTCAATTTCCTAATGCACGGTAGTTCGGACGATCGTGCCGCTTTTGCGTTTGCGCAACTTCAGAACGAACATTCAACTCGTTCTCTTCGTGACGAGCTGACTGCAGCTCATTAGGACATCGCTCAAATGCGTGAACAGGTCGCTTCGCTATTCGATTAGACGGGCTCGTTGAAACGGAACCACTCGAAGGTGGTCTCTTCTTTTGACCGCGGAGGTGTTCTTCGCCTCTTGAAACGGGTTATTACTGTTAATAAGGGCGGAGACGTCCAACGTAAGACGTAGGACACGTATGCTACCTATAAGACATTCCAATTGTGTATGCGTTGCCCATTCGGCGCAACACAAGAAATGGACCAATGTACCTGGGCATTAATTTACTGCTGCCCACGTTTGTCACTGCGTTTTTTGGTAGATGTACTGTAGACAGTAAAATTAAGTCTCCTCCATCAAATGAAAGAACGTCTACTCTTCTATGTTTGTCTGCATTTCGCTTCTGTTTATCTACTGCATCTGCAATGGAGTCTTGAACGAAGCGGACAACCGCTTCGCGAGTCAGCAGAAATTTCTCTGCTGATTCATCCTTGTGAACAGCAGTGCTTCGTGTGCACTGCTAAGAGAACGTTGTCTTCACCAGTGAGGGTAATATCGTCCTCACTGTGGCAGTCGTTGGCGATGCTGAATGTACAAGCATCGTCGTCATCATCATCATCGATATCGATCGCATCGACATCGGCATCCATCACATCTACACCATTGTCGAGGTGTAATGAGGAAGAACTAGATCGGTTTTCGTTCGAGCGAGTCCACACCCCCTTAAAAAAGATTCACACTCTTAGAAAACGGGTAAATGTGGATGGCGTAGGCCATTCACGAAGAACGGTGTATGCGGTGTCGACGCGTGCACCGAATTGTTGATGGCGAATTCCGCCATCGGCAAAAACTCAATCCAGCTCGTAAACGAGTGGACATACCCTCGAAGTATCTCTTCGAGAACGCGGTTGACGCGTTCCGTCCGACAATCTATTTCTGGATGGTCATAAGTCGACATCTTCGAACGTGTTCCAACTGAAAGGAACACGGATTGCCAGAACTCCGCTGTGAAGCAGGGGTCCCTATCAGACACGAGTTCACGGGGTAACCCGTGAAGTCGGAAGATCGTATCGATGAAGACACGAGCACAGTCCGGGGCTGTGATTGACTCCGGTACAGCAACAAGATGTACCATCTTGCTGAACTGATCAACAAACACAAGAATACCAGTATTCTGGTTAGCGTCTTTGGGAAACCCGAAGACCAAGTCCATCAATACGGACTGCCAACACTCTTCCGGAATCGGAAGAGGCTGCAAGGGTGCGCGGGATGAAGGACTAGGCTTCACCCGTTGACAAACTTCGCAAGCGCGATTGTATTTGCGCACAATCTCATACTGGCGGGTCCAGAAGAAGTCACGACTCACCATGAGGTAAGTCTTACTCTGCCGCGATGCCCACTTGTTGGAACAGCGTACACTCATACATGATGCGCAATCGCAAATCATTATGAGCGGGAACGACGACACGAGGCGTGTCGCCGTTGACTGCTTTATAGTAAAGTAGTCCAACACGGACAGAATACCGTTCGGTTAAAGACCGTTATTGAGACGACAAGCTGTTCAAAGCTTGATTGCACGGATTAGATACGTAATCCATCAATCGCATAAGAAATTCATCTTCTGTGTATGCTTTTCTCACGTCATAGATCAGATTCGACGACGGAACACTTACTGATAGTGTTGCTACAGTGGGATCACCCCTACTGTTGGGTTGAGCAGTCGGCTGGAAATCGGGCCGACGCGAAAGAGCATCAGCGACGACATTAGGTCGTCTTAGTTTATACTCGACGGAGAAGTTGTACTCCGTGAAGAAAGACAGCCATTTCGCCATTCGTTAAGAGGGTGTGGACAGTTTACGGCCGTGCGTAACGATGCAGGGTCGGTATAAACGATGAAGGGCCTATCTCCTAAGAGATAGACGTGAGACTTAGCCAGTGCATGTTTTATGGAAAGGAGTTCCTTGTAATGCACTGCGTAATTATGCTCAGCTGCTGGCAGCTGACGCGATTGATAACAGGCGACGCGCTCAACGCCGTCTGAGTCATACTGCAACAACGCGCAGCCGAATGAAAAATCGCTGGCGTCACAGACCACATAGAATGGTTTATGTCCTGGTATATGCAATCACCAACACAGGCGATTGCACCAAGCTTTTTTTTATGCCTTTAAAAGAGTGCTGACACTCAGCACTCCATGACCACCTCTCGTTTTTATTTAACAAACGACAAAGATGTACAGTCATCTAGGCGTAAATGCGCGAGTATTTGTGCAACTACGCTGCCAATCCAAGAAACTTTCGAATTCCCTTGACGTCGACTGGCACAGGCCAGTTGCTAATCGCCTTAATCGTTTCCGGATCAGGGCGTACACCGTTTTTAACCACGATGCAGCCAAGAAGTGGTATTTCGTTCGCTGCGAATATACACTTCTTGAGGTTCGCGAACAGCTTATGCTCTCGCATTAGAGTAAGAACCTTCCGGACGTGGATTCGATAAACCTCCACGTCCGTCTTTCCATCCATAGCCCGGATATGGACGAAGACATCGTCGAAGTAACTCGGTGCGAAGTCGCGCACTGATCGAAACAGATTCATAACACATCTGTTAAACGTTACAGGGCGTTACTTAGCCCCTGTGGCATTACTAGCCACTCCCGGAGCATACCACTGGGGGTACTCACTGCTATGTAAGGGATATCTTGTTTACGCAGGAGGATCTGATAGAATCCATCCATCAATATCCATGGAAGAAAAGATGGTACTCTTTGCCATACCATCTATGATGACATCCTTTCTTGGGATCGGCGTTTGAGCCGGTACCGTTGCAGCATTCAATTTGTTGAACGCATGCACTATCCGCCACCACCCTGTGGCCTTTCGCACACATAAGGTCGGAGAGCTGTGCGGGGATGTTGATTCCCTCACATGACCAGCCGCTAAGCGATTGGCAAAGAATTTGTCGATCGCTGTGACCTGTTCACGAGGTAGTGACCACTGCTTCATGACACAGCACTTCAAACCGAATTTCAGTTCAAACCCACGTCGATTGCTTTTGTCTTTAGACAGCTTGCATGGCACGGATTCCGGGAAAACAACCCTTAATTCGATCAAATCCGTGTGTAATGGATTTGTCGTCAAAGGCTTCTAAGATTGAGACGTGTATCGCTCAATTTGGGCCATTTCATCGAGGACACTCTTGTCCATAGATGAGCTACTGAGAACCCGTTCGTTCTCAGCAAACACTTGTGCCGACCGAATATCGGCAACGTCCTCTTCCTCTGTGACGAGTACGCAGATCTGCTTGATCTTGTCACTAAGCAGATCTCGCAAAAACCTTTTAGATTCTAGCGTTGGCAACTTGACCACCTCCGAAGCTGACTTCGGAGGCGTAACCAGATCAAGTGTATAAGCGCCTACACTTGATCCGTCATCTACCAAGACATTCACTGTCTCGGTGATTTCCTGGAAAAACACATCTGCAGGTGGTTGGGGATCCACACCCTCAACATAACTCTTTCGTGAGTTATCACTCTCAGGAACGCTGAAAAACTTCTTCCAATACGTGTTCTGACTGTGGGTGCACTACCACAGTCACGTCCTATTCGACCAACTCTCTTTCAATCGATCGTGATTTTTTCTTTGCGACCTACCCTCTGTTAGTCGATCTTGCTTCAACGTGTTGTTCATCCTGAACAACGCTGATCTCTCTTCTTGGATGCACCCTTCTTGGTGTGCAACCGTGTTCCATTCCCCTCGATCTCTTCGAGTGGTGAAATTTCGGCACAGCCTGTGTCTCTGTACAGGCGCCGGAGCTGGTTCCACAGTGTAGTGTTCTTCTACACTGTGATCTTGTGCAATCGTACTAACGACCGCACCTCAATTGAGGCCATCGCACTCACTTGTAGTACATCCACACGCTTGTGGACGCTCCAAGACGTTCATCAGATGGCCATCTGATGAACAAACGGCAGGAATCTTCACGGGTCGATGCTGCCAGCTAACCCATGGCCGGTACTTTCTAAGCCATGGCGGACCAAGGATGACATCAAATTTGTCATCCAAATCTGATACGATAAAATCATCACTACTGTTTTCCTTCTAGCGTGTAGTGGATTCCCACTACACGTTTGTTCACTGTTACGGATGCACCTGTAGCAAGGCACACCGTCATCCTCGTTGGAGGAAACTCTTGCTTAACATAGTTGATACTACTAAATTCTAGCGACTGGCGTCGAATAAAACTGGTCGCCGCCCCACATTCAACTAGGGCGCAAAGTGGCATTCTACTTGTCACTTCGATCTTCAAAGTGATGAGGGGCTCCTCATCACTAAGGGCAGTAAAACACAGAGACTGTGTGCCGGGAGCAATCTCTGTCAAGAGTCCTGCAAAATCGCTTGACGTTGTTGGATCAGCAAGGTCCTCCGCCCCTACTGACCCTGACCGTTTTTTGACGGTCCGACTTGCTGTCGCGGCTTGGCGACATGGTCGGCCCACGACTCGGACCCTTCCTTGGCCAACGGTGGTCATCACGTCCTGTCAATGGACGCGTTGCAGTGCTCGGGACACTACACTCATGAGCGTAGTGTCCAATCTTCTGACAGCGATGGCATCTTGCCGTTCGCTTGTGACTAAGAGAGCAAGAGTTCTCTCTCTCGATGTAATAGAGGTCCATTGGTTCGGGACCTCCTGTTTCCTGTCGCCTCGTCGGAAAATAGCTTGACGTACTAGCCTGAGACTGTCTTAGGCTGAAGTCTTCTTGTTCCGCATGCGATATCTCCTTTTCTAGCGTATGGAAGCCCTCTTGGAACATGTAGATCTTGACAGGTCCATCTACAAGGCCTTAGATGAACACATTGATGAGCTTGTGCTCACCAACAGGGTTTTCCGTAACGCTAATCGCAAGGTAGCGGAGATGCTGAGCGTAAGCGTGCACATCACGCTTACCTTGCTTGAACCTCAAGAGTGCAGAGCTTACTGTGAAATCGGCTCGTGGCGGCTCAAAAGTTTCTTTGAGTCGAGACTTCAAAATCTCCAACGACTCAAACACGTTCGGGTCGTGAAGCTTGAGCCCTGAGGCCCAAGTCTTTGCTCGTCCCGTCAAATTTGACAGGGCGAAGGTGACTTGCATCTCGTCACCCTCGATGTGACGGCCCTGATGCCATCGCCTAACTCGACGAACCATCTCAAAAGGGAATCTTTGTCGGTTCCCTTGTACCTTAAGATATCAATCTTCAAGGTTTTGGGTCGACGCATGTGCGTCGTCCCGCCCATCGACTGATGAGAGCTATGCTGTTGTATTAAGTGCATCTTCTGTCCTTCGACGGCAAGTTCCCCTTGTAGGAACTTGTTGATAGCAGCATGTTGCTGTTCTATGCTTGGAGACTCCAACATACCACTGATGGCGGGTTCGCTCATGAGCACACTCATGCGGCCGACTACCTCCCATTCTGAGTCACTGAGATGGGAGTAGCCTTCACGTGTGACGTGAAAGCTGTCGTCTTCTACGTCCAACATGTTCATGTTGGATGGACACTAAGGAGTCGTTGGACGGACTACGAAGTGCTATTAGGTGTAACGGGGCACCCTTTGTTTGGGGTGCCGCGAAACTTCACGTACACTAGTACGTGCATAGGAAGCTACTTGAACGACTCGATCAATTAAGGTAGGAAAGAGAACTGTACTTAATATAGTTAAGCTATTAATATAACGTTAATCTTTATCCAACTATATTAAACCACGTCGTCGTGTGACGACAACCTGCTCACATCTCATTGCGCGCGTCTAGCAGCGATTGGTGGTAATATATGGTTGATATGTTTTATTTCAACCAATCTTGAAGCAGCGAATAGATGTTATCCAAAAGGGGATAATATTCCTTCAGTATCATCCATCCCGGATAACATTGGTAGAATATTGTCAACTAGACAATATTCCAATTGACACCGTTTGGTGTCAATTTCATGTGATGGGCTACCCCGTTACACTGTCCCTTCTTGGAGGTGTCTAAGTGTATTCAAAGACGCTCTTTGGCTATGTCACTATCGTGGCGCACACACGTGATTGGCTTGAAATCAACTAAAGGTGAAAATAATTACAGAAGCAAACACTGGATGCTTACATAAAAAGGTTGCTCGCGTTGCATGAATATGATTCTGGGTTAATTTAGACATGAATAGCGTCAAACTCCTTCTTCAATGACTGATGCTGCTGTATAGTGCTTTGCAACTTGATTAAGTTCCATAAATGAATTATCTGTTAAAAACGATCATGTTTGACAGGTTCGAAGTTCAAGGGATATACCATGTGACGGTCTCATCTGATTGGCCAGTGGTATTACCAGGTGACATATGGGACCACGAGGAGACGATCGGAAAGATGGGACAGGAAGAGACAGGGCGAAGATGTGACAGATGGGATGGCGAGGTAACAACCTGACGGTTGGGACTAGGCGATACCATTGCAATATGTGACCGACGTACGAGATGCGCAGGAAAGACGGATGTCATCAGGGAAGTACATGGTCAAGTTGCGGTGCAGTTGCGGTGCATGTTGCAGCATTGACGAAGGAGAGCAGTTAATGCTAAATTTATTTTACTTTTACTCCCAACTACCTCTGCACAAGTGCACAGCAAGCATCTTAAACTAATATTTTTAACGTCAAAGGGCGAGCTCCAGAGCTTGCTCTCCTATGTTACTTACGCTAGCCAGATCTGCGGAAAAGGAACGCGACCGCAGCGAGTGCTCTTGCTCCCCTACAAAAAGCGATAAGAGCGGGGGGAAGTGCTCTCGAGATTTCGAAGCTCCCCTGTTTTTTCCGGTGCAGTAAACCTACTTTCCTCTTAAAACCCTGCTTTTACATCCCAACGTAGCGTGGTATCGAGTGAAATACGCTAAATTGCAAACATAGTTGACAACACGCATCCGCTCATCGGAATCTGCACCGACTAAAAGGGAACGACAGAGATTTTGCGAACGCAAAGGCTTAAAATGTCTCCAAGAACACACGATGCATCCAAAATTACTTTGTTTGATGATGAATACTTTCCTTTCCTTTTTTCCCGCGAAGCCGACCATAGGATACCACATCTCCATTAATTCGTTAAAATCGCGCACTTGCTACGTGCTGCTTCTAACACAACAACCTTCTCTCAGCACCTACCACTCCTACATCGTATGACGCACAGATTTTTCACAGTCGCCAATACCTCTGAAGGAATACGGCCTCGGACTTAAACTATGACCCTTTCCGTGGCTAGAGCTCTATCGTTCCAGAGAGCCTTTGTAACGGGGTGAATCGTTACACAACAATTTATAAGAAATTGTTAATAGAATATAACTATAAGAGTTATATTCTCAGAATATTGTCATAAGGACAAATATTCTGTAGCACTTACAAGTAGTTCCTAATTGGTTGATAAAGGCCATTATATCAACCAACGAAGACGCGCCACGACAGACGCACGCAATGAGTGGTGAGCAGATAACTGATTTACACATTTGTATTTAGACATAGTTAGATGAAGATAAATAGTGATTTATTGCAGACATTAACTATACTAAATACAGTTCTACTTTTTACTCTAACCAAGTACTCGCTTCTTCTTACCGTCTTCCTCTGCACGTACCAGTGTACGTGAAGTTACGAGGCACCGCCTTATTCTGTCATCAGAATAAGTAGCTTGTACTGTCACCAGTACAAGCTTCAGGGTGCCCCGTTACACCTGGTAGCACTTCGTAGTCCGTCCAAGGACCACGTTCACATCTAACATGAATATGTTGGATGATGAAGATGACCAAAGCTTTCACGCTACGCGTGACGGCTACTCCCATTTGAGCGATGTCGAATGGGATGCGGTTGAACGAATGGGTTCGACCATGGGCATCCATGCTGTTAGCGTCATGCTAGAGGCTCTCAATAGAGATGCCCAACATGCTACTATCACCAAGTTCATTCAAAATGAACTTGACGCTGAACGCGAGAAAGTAGCCTTGCTTCACCAACAAGGTTCTCAACAAGCAGAGTTGTTGAGAGAACAGGGTGCTCAACAGTTCGAACTGTTGAGACAGCAGCAGGCTGCTGCTGGCGGGTCGATGCACTCGCGTCGACCCGAAACCTTGACGATTGACATCTCCAAGTATAGGGGGTCGAAGAAGACTCCCTCTTGAGATGGTTCGTCGAAATGGATGACGCCATAAGGGCGCGTCGCATCGACGACGGGGATATGCAAGTTGCATTTGCCCAGTCAAATCTGGCAGGACGTGCGAAGACATGGGCACTGGGGCTCAAGTCGCACGACCCACATGCGTTTGGGTCGTTGCAAGTCTTCAAGTCGCGGCTCAGACAAACGTTTGAACCGCCTAGAGCTGAGTTCAGGGCTCGAACCGAACTCTTGAAGCTCAAGCAGGGTAAGCGTGATGTGCACGCTTACGCTCAACATATACGACATCTCACGAGTTGTATAAGTTCCAACCCGGTGGATGAACACACGTTGGTTTCGGTGTTCATGCAGGGTCTTGCGGATGGTCCCGTCAAGACTCACCTGTTCCGGCTTGAACTAGATTAACTAGAACAAGCCATTTCCATTGCGGAGCAGGAAGACTTCAATCTGAGACAGGCTCGCGCCAGCTCGACATCATATGGTCAACCGAGACGATATGACAACGGAGGTCCAGAGCCGATGGAACTCTGTTATGTAGAGAGCGAGAAGGCTCGCTCTACAGGCTACAAGAAGTTGCAGAGATGCAACAGATGTCAAAAGACAGGACACTACGCTTACGAGTGTAGTGCCCCTCGTCCAGTGTCTCGCAACACTGGGCGTAGTGACCGTCCACCCATGAGAAAGGGGCAGGGACGAGGGTCCGCAGTTGGTGCAAAGACGCAACAACGGGATGGACCGTCAAAAAACGGACAGGATCAGTAGGTGCGGAGCACCCTACTGGTCTAGCAACGTCAAGAGAATTTGTAGGCCTCTTGATGAAGGTTGCTCCCAACACACAAACGTTGTGCGTTGCTGCTCTAGGTAATGAGGTCTCACTCATTACCTTGAAACTCGAAGTGTCGAATAAGTTGTCCCTTCGAGCTCTAGTCGATTGTGGGGCGTCCAACAATTTTGTGCGACGCCAATCGCTAGAAGATGGTCACTTTAAGTTCAGTGAATGTGACACACCTCCTACGAGAATGACGGTACGTCTTGCGACAGGCGCATCCGTAACCGTCATGAAGCGTATAGTGAAGATCCACTATACGCTAGAAGATAACCAATATGACGATGACTTTATCGTATTGGATTTGGATGACAAATTTGATGTCATCCTTGGAATACCGTGGCTCAGAAGGTACGAACCACGGGTAAACTGGCAACATCGAACAGTAACGATGCCTGCCGCTTGTTCATCGGATGGCCATCTGATGAACGTTTTGGAGCGTCCACAAGCGTGTGGATGTACTACGAGTGAGTGCGATGGCCTCACTTGTGGTACGGTCGTTAGTACGACTGCCCGAAACCTTAGTGTACCAAACAGTTACACTTCGGAGCAAAGTTCCGGCGGCTGTGAGGAAACACAGGCTGCGACGAAGGTCCACCACTCGGATAAGTCGAGTGGACCGGGACAACGATGTATCCCTAGCGGGGAACATCCAGAAGAGAAACAATCGATCGCTCAGGTTAAGCGAAACGATAATCCTAGATCGACTGGAGAGTCTTTCGTAGAGGATCTCGCTGTGGTTGCGCAACCCCAGCTAGAGGAAGTAAAGGGAATAAGTCCCAAGATTACAAAAACGGCGGAAATAAGTTCCCCGAAACCCGCGGGAATAAGTCCCCGGGAAGACGAAGGAATAAGTCCTTCGAAGCCTGAGGGAATAAGTCCCCAGGAAATGACAGAGACATTGAATGTCATAGTCAATAACGGATAAAGTGTAGGCGCTTATACACTTGATCTGATTGCGCCTCCGAAGTTAACTTCGGAGATCACTCAGTTGCCAACGCTCGAACATAAAAGGTTCTTGCGTGATCTGCGTAGTGGCAAAGTCAAGCAGATCTGCATACTCGTCGCTGACAACGAGTGTGTAACCGACACAAGGTCAGCAACAGTGTTTACTGAGAACGAGAGAGTTCTCAGTAGTTCATCTATGGACGAGAGTGTCCTAGATGAAAAGACACGAATTGAGCGATATGACTCCCAATCATGGGAATCGCTCAAGACAAATCCTCTCTATGAAGATTTGGTTGAATTCAAGGATGTATTCCCTGAAACTGTTCCGTGCGAATTACCGAAGGATAAAGGTATTCGACACGAGGTCGAGCTTAAACCAGGCTCGAAGTACTGTGTCATGAAGCAGTGGCCACTGCCTCGTGAACAAGTACTTGCGATCGACAAGTTCTTTGCCGATCGTTTAGCTGCGGGCCATGTGAGGGAATCAACTTCCCCACATAGCTCTCCGACCTTCTGTGTGCGAAAAGCAACAGGAGGGTGGCGGATAGTGCACGCGTTCAACAAATTGAACGCTGCAACGGTACCGGCTCAGACGCCGATACCGAGGAAGGACGTAATCATTGATGGTATGTCAAAGAGCACCATCTTTTCGTCCATGGATTTGATGGACGGCTTCTATCAAATCCTTATGCGGGAACGGGATATACCCTATCCCGCAGTTAGCACGCCTAGCGGCATGCTCTGGGAATGGCTAGTAATGCCACAAGGGCTTAGTAATGCCCCTGCCACGTTCAACAGATGTGTATCACATCTGTTGAGACCAGTACGAGAATTCGCGCCGAGTTATTTCGATGACGTATTCATCCATAGTCGAGCTATGGATGGAAAGTCGGACGTTAAGGTTCACAGGTACCACGTCCGACAGGTTCTTACAATCATGCGAAAGCATCAATTGTATGCAAACCTCAAGAAGTGTATATTTGCAGCAAGCGAAATACCACTTCTTGGGTGCATCGTTGGTAAGAACGGTGTACGTCCTGATCCCGAAAAGATCAAGGCGATCACCGACTGGCCTGTGCCGGTTGATGTCAAAGGTCTTCGAAATTCCTTGGGCTAGCGGCGTATTTGCATTAGTAATCACGCAATTACGCCGAGATGACTGTGCACCTCTCTCGTTTGTTGAAAAAGAACGAGAGGTGGTTATGCAACGCTGAATGTCAGCGCTCCTTTGATGGTATTAAGCAGAGCTTGATACAATCCCCAGTCCTAGCAATAGCCGATCAGGACAGGCCATTTCATGTGGTCTGTGATGCCAGCGATTTCGCAATCGGCTGTGCATTAATGCAGTACGATCTTGAAGGCGTTGAACGCGTCGTCTGCTATCAGTCGCGTCAGCTGCAACCAGCTGAGCGGAACTATCCAGTGCATGACAAGGAACTCCTTGCCATGAAGTATGCACTCGCGAAGTTCAGAGTCTATCTATTAGGAGATAGACCCTTCGTTGTTTACACTGACCATGCGTCATTACGCACGGCAGTGAACAGCCCGCACCTTTCACAACGAATGGCGCGGTAATTGTCATTCTTTGCGGAATACAACTTTACGGTCGAGTACAAACCAGGACGACTTAATGTCGTTGCTGATGCACTCTCACGTCGTCCCGACTTTGAAACAGTCGCGAAACCCAACAGTGAGACAGTCACTGTTACGGTTATGACGTCCTCAGTCCCATCTACAACGTTGTATGATGATGTGAGGCGGGCATACGCCCAAGATGGTGAGATTGTGAAGTTGTTGACACATCTCTCCCAACCATCCCGAGAATCGTTGAAACGATTGTCGTCTGCGTATCGATCTGCATCAGATCGATACACTACTCGTAACGGTTTACTGTATTATACAGCCGTTTCTGGTGATACACCACGTGTTGTCATTCCAGATGATACTGATCTGCGTTTGCGGATCATGTTCGAGTATCACGATGCTCCTATAGGAGGACATCGTGGCCGAGAGAAAACATATCTCACGGTAAGTCGAGACTTTTACTGGCCCCGCCAGTATCAGTTTGTGCGAAAGTATGTTCGCGCATGCGAAGTCTGCCAACGAGTGAAGTCAAGTCCTTCACTGCGTGCACCTTTACAGCCTCTACCGGTTCCGGCTGAGTGCTGGGAATCCATCTCAATAGATTTCGTCTTCGGGTTACCCAAAGACGCACGCGGGAATACGGGTATTCTCGTATTTGTTGACAGATTCAGCAAAATGGTACACCTTGTGGCTGTACCAGAGACAATCACGGCAAGTGGCTGTGCTTGTGTCTTTATTGACACCATCTTCCGACTTCATGGGTTGCCCCGTGAACTCGTATCAGACAGAGATCCACGATTCACTGCTGATTTCTGGCGTTCCGTGTTCAAATCACTCGGAACGCGATTGAAGATGTCAACATCTGATCATCCAGAGTCAGATGGTCAGACGGAACGTGCCAACCGTGTCCTTGAAGAGATACTTCGAGGATACGTGCACTCCTTTAAGAGTTGGAGTGAGTTTTTGCCAATGGTAGAGTTTGCCATTAACAACTCGGTGCATGCGTCCACGACACATACACCGTTTTACGTGAATGGCTTGCGCCATCCGCGTGTACCCACCTTACTAGAGTGTAACTCTGGTTTAAAGGGGGGAGGGACTCGCGCGAGCAAAAACCGATTTGGTTCACGCTCATCACGCTCTGACGAAGAAGTCATTGCGTTTGATGCCGATATCGATAACATCGATATCGAAGAAGATGATGCCAGTGAGAGTGCGGAAGCCCTCACTGAAGAAGATGATCCTAGTGAGAGTGCGGAAGCCCTCACTGAAGAAGATGATCCTAGTGAGAGTGCGGAAGCCCTCACTGAAGAAAAGGTTGATGTTGCTGTAGTGCGCTCACAGCGCACTGAAGCTAACGAGTCATCAGATGAGTTCATACTGGCTCGTGAAACGGTAGTCCGTTTTGTGCAAGACTCCATCGCCGAAGCGGTGGATAAGCAAAAGCAAAACGCTGACAAGAATGGAAGGGCAAACACTATTTTATTTAATAAAGGTGACTTAGTCCTACTGTCTACGGTTAATCAACCAAAGCATGTAGTGACTAACTTGGGTAGCAGTAAACTACTACCCAAGTACATCGGCCCATTTCGTGTATTGCACCGCCTAGGCAATGCATACACGATCGAGTTACCACGTAAGATGCGAACGCATCCCACGTTTTACGTTGGTCGGCTTAAGCCGTACCATCAGTACGCTGCTTCTTCCGATGAAGAACGCCCTTGCGCTCAAGCATCTCGCAGAGAGCCTTGTGCTCCCGATGGTGGGCATCAACAAGGGTCTGAAGAGCAGCTATCTCATCCCGAGACCGATCAGCAATCCCACGAGCTACCCTTAGCTCGTCACGAAGAGATGTCAGAGATCTCTCGTTCTCAAGCTGAGCAAAGGCAAACTCAGCTCGATGCTTCGAGGCAGTGTCCGCCATTTGGAGACGCCTATTCCGCTCATGTTCGAGATCGTCGCGTAACCCTTGCGTTACGCGATCAAAGAAGCTCTCGGGAACACACCGATCCACATGATCGTGTGGAGAGCGTCTTTCCTCCTCCTCCACCTCCATTAGAGGACTCTCGCGGTGGCCAGCGCTATCTAGTTGAGCAGCTGTTGAACCACCGCGACGTGAACGGAAGTCGGACGAGTTATCTCGTCCGGTGGCGCGGCTATCCCCCGTCCTGGGATTCTTGGGAGCCCCGCTCCCAACTGATGATCGACGTACTGGGTCTGGTTGAGCAGTACGACGCGGCACATCCTGTGCCGCAGAAGGACCGCCGGAGAAAGTCTTCCCGGCACGGTCGTAAAGGGATTTCAGGTTGTCAATCCCTTCGTACATCTCAGTAGAGATACGTACGCGCCACCACGGGCTGGTAAGGAGGTAAGCCTCCTTAGGTGCTCGTGCAGAGTTGTTCACACAACATGGGCACGAGTCTCCCCATGAGAGGCAGGGTAATCCCTTCTCCCTTGACAGACGATGCAGCTTGTAGCGTGCACCTGTCGGGGTTCGCTTTTCAAACTTATCACGAGCTTTGATAAGTTTGTCGTTCCAAGCGTCACGACCTACATCCTCAAGGTTATGGATGTAGGCGTTCCACGCTTGAAGTAGTGAGGGACCATCACGCTTGTGGTTCCCACTGTACCATCGATGTCTGAAGAAAGCATCGATGAAGAATTCATGCTCAGCGCGATAGTTTTTCGCGCTGGGGTCAAGGTGATGGATCCTTGACGAATCGAACAATCGTGTTCGATAACGATCACTCGTCGCCGCCGACAAGTGATCCATGACGGATTTTGGAGGTATCCATGCCTTCTTCTCAGGAGCGAGACGCAACACATTGCGGTCCCGCTCTTCCTGCGACGTGCCGACAGAAGTACTGGCACCTCGCTGTGAAGTGGTGTCCATAGGAGAGCCGACACCACTATTAGCGCCCGAGTCTCGCGACCTCGAGCGCCTTCGCTTCGGCGATGGTTCATCTGATTCATCAGATGAACCAAAGATGCTGCGACGCAAAGCATCGTCCATGCCACGCTTGGCAGGCGGCTTAGATTCAATCGCCGTCGATACGGATCCGTCATCCGTATCAGGAGAGTACGAGACACCGAGCTCGTACTCTGTGAAGACACGAGTGTCTTCATGACCAGCGCCTGCATCACCAAGTGACACAGGCTGGGTCGCTTCAGCAACCGATGAGACATCAGTTGCTGTTGTTTCTGCTTCGGCGTCCGCACAGAGACGTGCAGACGCGCTCTCGGCGGCCTTGCTCGCACATCGCATGGGCTTGTTTACCATGCGATGAGATGATGGACTGTGGACTCGGACCAACAAGTGCAAACCCCGTCCCAAATGATTTGGGAGGAGTATCCCTTTAGTCAACCAGTCACTAAAGTGACTGATGGTTAAGGGGGGGGTGATGTAACGGGGTGAATCGTTACATAACAATTTATAAGAAATTGTTAATAGAATATAACTATAAGAGTTATATTCTCAGAATATTGTCATAAGGACAAATATTCTGTAGCACTTACAAGTAGTTCCTAATTGGTTGATAAAGGCCATTATATCAACCAACGAAGACGCGCCACGACAGACGCACGCAATGAGTGGTGAGCAGATAACTGATTTACACATTTGTATTTAGACATAGTTAGATGAAGATAAATAGTGATTTATTGCAAACATTAACTATACTAAATACAGTTCTACTTTTTACTCTAACCAAGTACTCGCTTCTTCTTACCGTCTTCCTCTGCACGTACCAGTGTACGTGAAGTTACGAGGCACCGCCTTATTCTGTCATCAGAATAAGTAGCTTGTACTGTCACCAGTACAAGCTTCAGGGTGCCCCGTTACAGCCTTGTTGCATTGCCAATATTTCATTGTGAATCCACAGCAAGCTTATAAAATTGCAAAAACAAGAAGTGTCATGTACCACAAAATACCAAGGAAAGGTCGTATCCCGTATCAGCTCGTTCCGTCGCTACTTACAGAACATGTACTTCCTATTCGGGTGACGAAAATTGGCGTTGCACACCCAGCAAACGATACTTTAGCTTGTCATTGAAGCTGTATAATGGGTTTACGTGTACCACATATCAAACGTGGCCAGCGCGACCAATGAGGTGCGTGTCCCATTGATATGTGTCCCATCGGTCGTGACCAGTGCTTTGTCACCTGAAAAGTACCCATGAGTGCGAGCAAGGAAGACGTGAAACGGCGTCAGGTGATCGTGATCTTGGAGCAAGCGGCGCTGGAGACGGTCAAGACTTCCAAAGGATACCAGCTGCTCAACTGTGATGACCACAAGGGCATTCACAAGAAACTCAATCGTGAAGCCAGCCAATCGCGGCCGGATATTCTGCATCAGGAGCTCATGGCGCTGCTTGACTCCCCACTGAACAAGGCTGGGTACCTTAAGGTAACTTAGGTCGCAGGATCTTCTAACCGTTGGTAATGATGGTCTGAGTATGAACGGTCGTTGTTGCTGTTGATCCCTACTGCAGATATACATCCAGAGCACGAAGGGCGTGCTCGTTGAGGTGAGCTCACAGATGCGTGTGCCCCGCACGTACAAGCGTTTTGCTGGTCTAATGGGTAAGTGTTCACGGCACTTAGGTAGTCACTGGTGTGACGATACTGATGATGTAGTTGATTGAGGACAGTGCAATTGCTTCACACGTTGAAGATCCGGTCATCGGATGGAAACCACACGCTCCTGAACGTGATCAAGAACCCTGTGACAAAACACTTACCGGCCAACTGCAAGAAGTACGCATTGTCCCGCGTTGGTACGTTAGTGAACCCGTGGGAGTGGGTGGAGACGCTGCCGAAGGACGAGCCGGTGGTGTTTATCTTTGGCGCAATGGCACACGGTCACGTGTCCAAGGAAAACTGCAACTATGTACGCAATATTTGTGCTTGTGAACAGCGCTGAAACAATGAGACTAACGGTTATGTTGATGTGCTGACGTCATTAGCTGGATGAGACCATTTCCATCTCGGAGTACCCGATGAGCGGTGCTCAGGCTATCTGCCGTCTACTGAACGGCTTCGAACGTCATTGGGGCATTCTGTAGCAATATAATCTATGTGATTTCTGCTGCAAACGTGAGCACTATGAAAGCTGCTGAAAACAGTGATAGACACAGGAAACGTGTTGTTAGAGTTGATGAGGAGTGATCAAACGGATCGTTTGCAGAGCAAATGGTAGAACGTGGGCGCTTCTTGCGGCGTCTTTATGGTTGTGTTGAGGGCAAAAAAGGCGAGCCAGGCAAGTCCTTGGCTTCTTGCAGTATTCGCTCCTCCGATGTGAGCGGAAGTCCACCATTCAATTGCTGCCGACGCTGATCGTACATAGCTTTCCTGATGGCACCCTGCGTGGCCTCATCGTACTCCTGAATGTTCCTTCGCGAGTCTACTTGGCTCGTGTCAATCTCTGGCCCTCCTTTTATTGCGCAGGCCCACCACGTACGTTTGACCTTCTCCAGCGAGATGCTGAGCGTGTGGCTGCTTTCTACAGACCAGGTACTCTCGTCCAAACGGACCTTTTCCAGGAACTCTCCTTCTATAAGTGGATTCGTTTGGTCGCTCTTGAGCGCGACACGTAATCGCGTGGAGCCGATCTGACAGTCCAAATCCTTTGCTTGTGTGCCTTGTGCAAACTCCACCTGGATCTGTAAGAACAAACACACACACTATCAGCAGCCAGCTACAAACTGTGATGGTCACAGGCAGAACAAAACCTACCGAAACTTCCTCCAGAGTCTGCGTCCACGTGTATGTACCTGCGACTCCGCCATTACCGACAGGGACTGCACTCCACCCACAAAAAAACACATATATCGATAAGTCAATCAATCCGCAACTCGTAACAAGCACAAGCATCAGCAGCAGCATCCTTTTTACCCTGTTTGCCATCCTCTGTCAGCTGCGGCTCCCTCCTAGTGATAGCAGTAGCTGGAGCTCTAGTCATCGTCGCCGTTAAAGCAGCTGGATCCGTCGCACGTCGACCCGCCGTCGTCTCTCCAGTCACCTCCGTCTTTGTACCCATTCTTACAGCTGAACTGCCGCTGTGACGTTCGTCCAGACTCTTCATCGAATGTTTTTGAAAAGCTTCAAGCACCTTTTGCTGAGCCTGACCAGGCAAAAAACCCATCTTGTGGCGTGCTGGGTCGCTAGAGACCACATAAAAGTCGGTTTTACGGTGCAAGAAGTCAAAGATCGAGTCCAGAAGCGACTCTACACCGCCATGTTGCTGCGCTAGCTGCGTCAGCAGCGCGTCAAAGCGTCCTGGGACAGCACTCATGGCGTCTGTCATGTTGTGTGCTCACTCACTGCACATCCACCCACCCAAATGTGGGTCTTTTCGTCATTTCTTCGATCCACCCAAAATGTTCCAATGCATTTACTTTTAACCAATGAAAACACGCTGAGCGTCGGAATTGCGACTTGACTTGATCAATGATGTGGTCGGCGCTGCAACGGGCCAAGCAGGCGACGTGCGGCTTCGTCCGTCGCCACAAGAAGCTGCTGGTTGTCACTAGCGTCAGTGCGGTATGTACAGGAGGAGTGTACTATGCCTATGTTCGCATGCGGGGAGAAGCCGAGCGCTTTACCGAGAAGATCCAGCAGCAAATGGCCGAGCACCAGCGTCTTCAAATGGCACTAAGCAGCACAGCGGACGAGAGCCGTGCGACGGTGCAGCGTTTCCTGCCACGACTCAAGACGCGATTGTACCAACAGATGGATCTGGAGAAAGTTGTGCAAGAGCTCAAGTCGCTGGACAAGACGCAGAAGATGGAGCGCAATGCGCTCTGGGAGAAGGCCAAGCTGCTGGCGTTCACGCGGTACTTGACGACGCTCGTGGCTTATGGATTGTGGCATTTACTGGTCTTTTCTCAAGTCGCTATTGTGGGTAAGAGAGTGTTTGAGAAGAGCAAGAGGCTGCAAGTGGTGGAACTGTTCCGGGAAGAAGCAGAGGAGCAGGCACACCATGTCTTCCTGTCGTCTGGACTCGAGCATTTTTTAGACAAAGCGCTGGGCAAGATCAGAACTCATGTAGAGACAGTGGTGAAGAACAATACAGATTTACGGGCGTGGCAAGTTAGTCGAAAGGTAGCGGTGCAGGCGGAAGAACTCAATCAACTACTGCAAGCGCTGTTCCTGGCGGTACTGCCATCACCGGCTGCCGTAGAAGCAGCGGCTACGCACGAGGAGTTGCCAGAATTGAGCATGTGGAGGGAGTTTTTGACCTACCCGGAAAAGCAAAAAGGTCAGGATGAGCATGTGATTAGCCTCCTCAACGACTTCTGGGATCTGCTGGAGAGTGATCTATTTATGCCTGCATTACAGAATAGCCTGGGATTTCTATGTGGAAACGCTTTTCAGGACCTTGACGATGTCGTCTATGGGTCAAGCAACGCGGTTAACCGACCCGTTGAGGACAATGCTGCTGACGTCTTGATAAAGAAACCAGCACCGCCTCTTGCGAAGCTCATTCCGTGCCTACAAGCAGAAACGAACAAGCTAGTGCTGTCTTCAGGACCTGATAGTTACGCTGCGAGATATTCGCAGGGTGTGGAAGAGATCGAGGCATTCCGGAGCTTCTACGAGGCCATTTTTTTCGAACAGAGTGCTCAAGACTCGTGTATGGGACCAGCTCTTATCTAGCTTATTCGTCACGGCCTCGCTCGACAGTCCGTAGGAGACGGCGATGGTACAATCTACGATGCTGGTAACGAAGCGCAGGCAGCCAACACACGGCTGCATGTAATCGTTTTGAGAGTGACCAACATCTTTTCTTTCGGGAAATCTACTCATTATTGTAATCGCACTCCGGGTCCTTTGCAAATCGGCTAACACACGGATCTACTGAAATCCTCTACACTTCTTCCATGGCGTCGTACACAGCTCGGGGCTGTAGTTACAATCAAGTCGTACTACGGCATCGTCATCGTGCCACCCGCTGCTAGTGTGCACCGTTGGAAAGCTGACGTCTCAACTCGCAAAGCTTGTAATCGAGGCTTTCGTAAAGATACACCGAGGTCTTGTCCGCCCAGGACACATCGATCTCAGCTTCAATCGGCGGGTGAACGTACTCGATGCAAAAGTTACCGGCGCGAGTGCACTTTGAGTCTCCGTGACGTTCGCATATTTTGCGAAGAGTAATCACGCACCGCAGCTTGGTCATATCCTTGAGAAGCTCCATCACCTTTAGCATGAGAGCAGGGCCGAACATGACATTATTAATGAAGACCACGGTGGCGTCCATCAAACGTGCTTCCTCGGGTGGAACAAAGATATCACCTCGAAAGATCTCTACTTGCTTACCACGCAGTATAGCAACGTCACGGCTTTCTAGCCGCTTCAAGGCTCTTTGTCCTTCCAGCACGCGATTCTGCATAAGTTCGATGCCTGTTGCGCGTCTACACGGTGTTTGAAGAGCTGCTTGTACCAAGATTTTACCTGTGCCGCATCCGAGGTCGAAGAAAACATCGTCCTCATCCAAGTTCAGCAACGGCAGAATCGTGGTAGCCACAGACTCGATCGAGACTTCACCGTATGTCATCAAGCGTCGAAACTCCTCCATGTCAAGATCCTCAATCTCTTGAGATCGCTTGCAGGAGCTTGTCTCCGTCACAACTGTGTCTCTAGTGATGCTGTACATCTCTCGATCATCCTGTTCCTGCTCTTCGTAGAGCGCTTTAATCAACGTCGATACGTACTCGGTCTGCGACTCGAAAGTATACGCAGATTCCAATGAGCGCCGCGCCTTGCTGCTCCGTTTCTTTTCCGGCGTCTTTTTCTTTTCATCTTGGACAGGCGATAAGTCCCCAGTGGTTGTCCACTTGCTTGTGCTAGCAGTACTTCTGTCCGTCTTCTTAGCAGCAATCTGCTTCCGTGTCTTCTCCTTCTTCTCTACGGCAGCCTCGACACGAGAAGGTGCGGGACGAGCTCTGCGCAGAGCTTGTACCTTGGATTTAACATTTCTCTGCATATACGAGGACTTGTGGCTGAATGGCTTCTCCGACGGATGCAGCACATCCACTGGACGGCGTTTACGCCGGCCTCGACGCGCCGGCTCGCGAGTGTTCACTTTTTTCTCGTCCTGATCCTCACCAAAAGGCACCATAGAACTGACCTGCTTCTCTTGCAGCTCACACAATTTTTGTGGCGACAGGAACGTGGGTTCCCCATTCAATAAGGACGAAGTCGTCAATCCAAACGACGGGTCACTGCTATTTGCGGGAATCTTCAAGTGGGACGCGACTGCGTTGATGGATGCATCACTCACAGCAGAAGCAGAAGATAATGAGTCTGCTACTTCTCCTTTAGTTTCCGTTCTCTTCTGTTCCAACGCGTTTGATCTCTCCACATCTGTTGGGGACCTGTTGGGTATCGTTGGCAGCTCGAAAGTTGACGGTAACACGGTATCCGTACACGTGGACTTCGGGTCCAGCAGACACGGACTTCTAATCTTACGGTGCTCCGCGGAGCGAGGCCCCTTGCGATTAGCTGGACGCCGTTTGAGTGTCATCGCACAGTCAGCCCCCCAGCCTCCTCGTTGCTGCGCTGAATTATGAGCAAGTGGGACGACCCTCTGTCCCGATTTATGAGGACGTGCGTTTATTTCGTACTTGTCAGCATTGCGCTTTTTACATAAAGTGATTGAACCCATGTGCTTTTTTATTCAGATTATTGTAGTGGGTCTTAGATTTAGACCATTAAAATGCGTGGCGCAGCCATTGGCTCCAGCAGCTCCATTCTCTTGCTGCTGTAATCAGCTTGCTATCCGTCATACTAATGCATGAGACTCTCCTGCAGTCGCACATGGGGGAGACTCGTAAACTATGAGACACCTACAGCGCACTGGTGGTGCGTCCGCGAGGCTGCCACTGGTACGCACCGTTGTGGTACTGGAAGCCAACCTTGTTGATCAGCTTGTCGCTTTCCTTGGGCCCGCGCGAGCCAAAAGCGTACTGCAAAGGCTTTATCTTCTGACACTCAATCTCATCCAGCAACGGTGTGAAGATCTTCCAGGCTGCACGCAGCTCGTCATCGCGCACAAATGCAGCCTGCTTGCCACGAAGTACGTCCAAAATGAGGCGCGTGTAAGCACCCGGCACCTCCGCGCCCTCGTAACGCTCGGAATACGACAAGTTCAGCTCGCTCGAGATCGCCTGGGTCTGCAAGCCCGGGCTCTTCATGTTCATTTTCATGTACACGGCTTCCTCAGGCTGCAGACGTAGAACAAGCTCCTGCACGGGAATCTTCACACCGGGGAACATATGCTCCGCTCCAGGAGGCGGACGGAACTGCACACGGATCTCGCCCTTCTGCTCATTGAGGGCTTTGCCAGCTTTCATAATGAACGGAACTCCAGCCCAGCGGGGGTTATTCACGTACATGACTGTCGTTGCAAACGTGGGCGTCACCGATCCCTTTGGTACGGTCGGATCCTCGAGGTATCCAGGCTCATTGCGTTCCTTGTCACCCTGGTACTGGCCCAGCACCGTGTTCTCAAGCTTAATCGGCTCAATACAGTTCAGCACCTTGACCTTCTCATCACGAATGTAGTTCGAGTAGTCCTTCCCAGCAGCCATGACTGGCGGTTCCATGGCTATGAGGGACAGTACTTGCAGCAAGTGGTTTTGCATGACATCACGGATGATGCCATACGAGTCGAAGTAGCCGCCGCGGCCCTGCGTGCCAAAGTCTTCCTTAAACGTGATGGACACGCTCGAGATGTAGTTGCGGTTCCAGATGGGCTCAAAGATAGCGTTTCCAAAGCGTAGCACGAGTAGGTTCTGCACCATCTCCTTGCCCAAGTAGTGGTCAATGCGGTAGATCTCGTCCTCAGCGTACAGCGCACCCATGTCCTTGGACAACTTGTTGAACGACTCGAGGTCACGACCAAACGGCTTTTCCACGATAAGGCGATTCCAGCCATGGGACGTTAGCGCCGCCTTCTTGATACTTGTGCCGATGGGTACAAAGATCGTAGGCGGGATGGCGAAGTAGAAGAGACGATTGGCCACAGACGTGCCGTGGGCCTCCTCCAGTGCCTCCATCTCCTTGCTGACCTTGCCAACCTCTTCAGCAGAATCATAGTCCCCGCTGCGGTAAATACATTTGCTGAGAAACGCGTCCTTCTTGGCCTCTGTCTCGGACGTCTTGGACTTGATATAGGGCGCAATCTGCGCTCGAAAGTCGGTATCGTTCTTCTTGCTGCGTGCAAAGCCGACGATGACCACGTGCTCTGGCAGATATCCCGATGTGTAGAGGGCAAAGAGTGACGGGTACGTCTTCTTCTTGGCCAGATCACCTGAGGCGCCAATCACGAAGACTGTGAGAGCCGCGTGGAGGTACTCGCAGGCGTTGTGCTCGTCCACGTTGGGGAACTCCTTCTCGCTGTTTGTATCGGAGAAGCTCATGGTCGGACTTTGTCTGTCGGAGTTCCCGTCGTTGAAATGGTGGATCTGGTTGCGTTCTTGCGGGACAAATTGGCGTTTGAGGTGCAAAGGAGCAATTGGCCACCACTATTTACGTCAACGTTTACCGCACACCACCCAGTACCGCGAATTTGTCGGATTCGAAGCCTTTTTCGTCTCAAGATCGTTCGAGTAAATCACCGTCATCGCTGATGGGATGCACATGATGCGGCTGCCCACCAACACCCGTCATTTGTTTGGGCGACGGCAATTGGTCAGAATGTCATGGGATGCAGCTCTGGTGGCTGACGACCAGTACTACCTTAGGAAACGCATAACGAGCGTCGGGATGAACATACAGGTGGGCAAAACGGCTGTGATTCAGAGACATTGTTTGCATGAGGTTGCAGCAGAATGCAGATGTGCGCCCAGCGAGCTCTGCAGTGAGCGATTGCGCAACTATTTGGCAGCATTATTCAGACACGAAGAACAGCTACCGAGTCTGTCATCACTCGAGTCGTAGCAGCCGGTTACGGCGCAAGGAGTGCTGGTGCATTCCATGTTTCGAGATTTGCCTACTTCAATGTGATTGCGCACACAATACCTCGAGGCGGTAAGTGGTCTCGGCTGCTGAGGACCAGCACGTGAGGACTATCCAGACATGGACTTTACCGCGGTGTGTGCAAGATAATTGGTAATGAAGCGCGCCGTAATCGACTTTCGTCTTGAGGGAAGAACACGCAGACTAGGATGGGGAGGTGACTACTTTATGGCAATGAGGTCGAGTACAAGTTGTGACTTTTGCCAGCTTGAAGTCAGACGCGGCAGTCTCTGCTGCCCATCGACAAAGCGGGTTGACAAGCCAGTGAAGCCGGCCAGTAACTGTATAGCCAAAGCATCCCCAGATAGGATTACGGTTCATGAAAAATCCGTGCGCTCGAAACGCTGGGGTCTGTGAGGTTCGAACTTCATTGATTGCATCCATCGAACCATTCATTTGACAGTTTTCTTTCGTCGCGTCCAAATTGTACGATAGTGGATACATCTATTCAGGACGCTACTGACGACTGCACGCATGACAGCTTCCCTCTTGAACATGATTGCAGACACTTTACTTATCTCACACAAATTAGTTATACGATCAAACCTAAGGCTAACGAAACGGAGGCGCCGTACCCCTACCACCTAAAAAGACCGAAATGCACACTGCTCAGCCGTGCACGGAGAGCACACACCGTCGTCCATCATAGACTCGTCCAAAATACGAAAGTGCTCCGTGCACAGCCCTTTCCGTCGAGCCTTCTTCTCACAACCAGCCATCGAACAAATCTTGCCGCCGCCGTGCTTGATGCAGAACCCGTTGCCACGATCCTTGGACGAACATCCCTCTTCTTTGCACAGGCGTTTGCCACCGTGGCTATGGCATAGGTTGTTGCGCTGAGAGACACGCTCACAGCCCTCGATCTTGCAATACTTGGACGCACGATTGCGGTGTGCAGGCTGGCTACTGAACGAAGCCCGAGAATTGGATGGACACACGATCGTGTCGGCAGGACTAGCATCGGCCCATGATCGCCTCTTACTAGGAAAGCTAGGGCCCATGGACGACGATCTCACCTTCCAGTTCGATGGCAGCGAGAACAACGCCACACTGGGTAGCGGCATTTGCGGCATTGAAGTCACGGGCGGCGTGCGCTTGACCATGGAAGGACTGATTGCACTGCGTAGCGAGGGAATTGGCGTCGGGCCACGTGACACGGGACTCAACTGAGGGTGCTGTGGCGACGGCATGGCCGCCACCGGTGTGGTCGCCTGCATTTGCTTGAGCAGACCCGTGAGTGATGGCAACTTCGGGTTGATGCTCAGGTGAAGCGTGGGCGTCACGGGTTGCTGCAGCAACTGATTGGCCGCCGCCTCCTCTTGCTGCTGGCGCCGAAGGTCTTGGTTCTGCATGTATTCCGCCGCGGTGAATAGTGCGAGCGGCGGGTAGTCTGTCATCGACTGTTGGCTGCACGGTGTCGAGTGGGCCGGAGCCATAAAGAGGTGCGAGGTGCTGGCGTGTCCAGCGAATGGTGCTTGCGCGGTAGTCATCTCTTTGTGTAAATACTGATGATGGTCACTTGCCAGTCGGAGAGAAAGTTTGAAAGTGAGTCTCGGGTAGAGAGACCTGCATCAGTGTCGTCCTTTAATTTGTTGCGCAATCAACGCAGCAAAATTGTGCCCGAACAGACAGGCCAGGGGTTCCACCTGTACATGTTTGTATGGTCTCCTCAGCAGCTGCTGCGACACCACGAGCGATTACGAGCCGCGGGTCAGAAGAGAAGGACGCAGTATGACGGCACTGAACCCTGACTCGGCTGGCTGGTTACGGGCAGACATGATATCGTCGTATGCCGGAGGCGTGGTATGGACCTAGAATATCCCTCCGCCACAGAAGTTGGCACTACAGCTCCCTCCTTCCGCAACGTTGCAAGGCGTGCTAGGTGGGAGCGGCCAGCACCAGCATCGCCCATCTGATCGTACTCGACCAGCACCACGCACTTGTGGCAACTAGTGGGTTACTCATCAGTGTTGCTGGTATACATTTGTGGCCGATTATGGAGAAGAGCATCGTGCTACTAGAGTAGCTATTCCCGATCACCATTTACGAACCTAGTTGCTATCGTCTCTTCTCCCCATGTAACGATTGATGGCATCCCACTTGCTATGAGCTTTACACCTTCGTATGAATCGAAGGTAGTTATCGTAGAGCTGCTTGGGTTGCGAAGGAGGTAACTCGCAAGGTTGTGCATGAGTGCTCGAAATTACCGGGTCGCTTCGAAGCTGTATCCCCTTTCATGTTTATCGCGCATGGTTCATTACTTTGTCATGATTGCGTCAACAGGTGTGCGCTCACGCTTTGCGCAGTGCGATCGTCAGAACACGCTCACTGCTGTACAAAAAGGACCGCCTCACCAGACGGCAAGAGGATTAAATTAGCAGTATTGTTCATCGACGGACCTGCTGTGCACCTGATGACGCTCAGCGCAATCATAGACTTTTTATGAGCACACACGACAGTAACGCGGGTCTGCAGGTAGGCACCGCACCTTGCCCCACGCACTGTTCGAGTCAGTCGCCTCACCCACCAAATGAGTCGACGAGCCCGAACTTATGGTCCCGAGGAAAGTCTCTCGCAGGAGAAGCGTTGTGGTGGCATGCTCTATTGTCACACACAACGACTGATATTCTTTGTATGCGGAGAAGCTACCGCACTGTACCCCACCCCGTGGAAAACGTGGAGTAATCACTAGCGTGGAGTTGCATTTGCTGATCGTGGCCCTGTGTGGCTAATTTTCACAGTTACAGGCCACACTTGGTTCCCGATGATCGGTAGAGCAGCGTACTAAATGCCTGAAGTTATTTGATCCGACACTAGCCTCCCGATTTGCGCCTTCGGGCAACGTCGGCCAAGCGACGAATACCTCCAAAGAGCTGGGCGACCGGCCCCCTTACCCTAGGCGGGAAGTCCCCTTCCTTGGGGCCCGGATTAAGGCGGGCCTTCTCGCCGCTGTGTGCGCTACGGGAGGCAGCGCAGCGTGCAAACCGGAAGGGGAGCAACAACCCAGACACCCAGAGGCGAAGGGTACGACAACAGTGGTTGTCACTCCCCACCTATTACCTACTATTCTACTTTAGCCTTTAAGTTGTCGGCCCGGTCGCTAAGCTTGACTCCCGAGCCCTACGAAGTGAACTTGCCTAGAACGTGATCAAGATCAGCCTAGTCTAGGTATGTCAGCGTCCCATCGGGGGGTGATCGGCCTGGTACCCGGCGTTTCCTGCGACCTCAGCGCCCTGTCTGTATCCCGGACTGGATATCCGATTCCACGTGCTCTCTGCGAAGTGCCCCCCCCCCCGTGATAACCGAAGAGCCGAGCCAAGCAGACTAAGCCAGCGAGGAGGAGATGATGTAGTTTAGGCAGCAGCACACCGACATCGTAAAGGTATAAGCACGTGATCAACGTTCACGATTTACTACTGTTTGATTTGACTTTCACGCTGCTGCGTACAGTGCATTTACGGGGAAAGCGCCTGGCGAAGTCATCGTCGATAGGCGAACAAGCGGGTCGGAAATGCAGCTCAAAAATCCGGTGCACCGTGCGAGAGGCGGACGAATATGATTACGAACGTCGGACCATCTGTTGCTTCGGATTGAGGCCGCAGCAACATTGCGCGTGCTCGTAATCGCCTGCATGTCGCAGCATCTGCCGAAGTTGCACATCTTAAACGGGACTTTAGAGTGCCTCGTGAAATAGCATTCGTGATGATCAAGCGGGCACATAATTCAGGTTTTGGAGAAAGGCTACATTCCATAGCCTCTGTATGTCGTGCCGCAGCAATGATCCGACAGTCGATCAGCTAGCATCTGTCACGATGTATCAATTCCATCATTTCGTACGTAGTCGTTTGCCGATCTAGATGAAGGACTGTCAAACTTGCTGATAGTTGTTATCTGAGAGGTTTGTCGGGAAAGGGTTGGGGCAGACAAGAGTGATACCTCTGATCTGGTCCAAAATGGATCAGCTAGCTCCAGCGCTTGTGCCTTGCAGATGGTTCCTTTTCCGCACGCGGTACAGTGGAAAAACGAATACTACAGTGGATTTATCCGCCGCTCGGTTTTACGAACTAGTTCACAGTACTTTACACGACTCATGTGAGCAAAAGTTTTATGTAGTTCGCGACACAAACGCGAAGCGCGTGGTCGACCCTAGCCTTCAGTCAGGCGAAGCACAGGTCGACCATTTGGCGATGCCGAAAAGTTGGGTTGACCTTGTGGTCAGCTGACGACACGCAAATGTGTTAATTCTTCGAAACCCAGATCCCATGGACAATGCTTGCATCACATTCAATCGTATCAGTACCTTCGACCTGACAACACTCTACAGCTTTTAACGCAAGGAAGTGGAGGATGCTGGTAGGCCGGCAAGGATGGCAGCATTCGTCCTTTTTGATTCTTACCAATAGCTGTGAAAGCCTGCAACAAGCAAGTTGCTTCCTTTTAACTGAAACGTAATGGCAGTTTTGCCATCGTACTTGTCGCACGAACAACGTCAAAAATTGCCGTGAGTAGCAACATCGTTTTGCTCACGCAGTGACACCACCATACTGCTCCATCGAACTACAAATTGTCTGCGTCCGGTAAATGGTCGTGTAGTATCGTGCAGCGAATAGAAAAGAGGCTCGCAGTATCCATTGCCCCCTTGCGAGCGTTTTTCGGCTCAAACTGTCGCAGGACACCGTCAAATAGGTCCGTCTTGTTTGACGGATCACTTCAGCTTAAACATCGATAAAAATGCCGGGATGGTTTCTATGATAAAGAAGCTTGTTTCCGAATCGCCGTCGCCATATTTATGATGTATCGTATAAATGATGCGTCAAGTTTCATTCCAAAATAGTTCGCTGCGTCGAGTTTCTCTTTGCATTTCTCCTACGTCAGAATCAAAGTGGAGTGTACGTGGCACTACGTCAATCTGCTAACTCTTCAGTCGTCTGCATCGTTCTAGGTCGTGTAGGACACGTCTCCTGTTTTGAAGTATGAACTTATGAACGCTGCATATCTGCGAAGGCGAAACGCGAGTTTTCAGTTGAAAGTCTGTGTCGAACACCTCTCATATAGCGGCTTTACTCGGTCCCCGCCCTGAAGGGGAAGCCGCGGAGGGGGCTCTGCCGCGGGCATGCTCACTCCTGTAACGGGGTGAGCGCGATACATTTACTAAACCTCGATACTTGTTAATCAGAATGTCATCGGAAAGATTGATCATGTTCATTAATATTTCCATTATGGGATAAAATTCCAAAGCACTCGCCGAATGGCTGAAACGGACCATCATATCAGCCAACTCTAGCGTTCCAATAAACGATAGGCGCGCGCAACTAGTGGTGAGCAAGACTTACTTTAGCGTTCCAATAAACGATAGACGCGCGCAACTAGTGGTGAGCAAGACTTTTGAATACACTTTTGTAGATAAATATCAGTAAGTTAGGACTAAGCATAGGTACGTTGTAACGGGGTGAATCGTTACATAACAATTTATAAGAAATTGTTAATAGAATATAACTATAAGAGTTATATTCTCAGAATATTGTCATAAGGACAAATATTCTGCAGCACTTACGAGTGGTTCCTAATTGGTTGATATAGGCCATTACATCAACCAACGAAGACGCGCCACGACAGACGCACGCAATGAGTGGTGAGCAGGTAGTTGATTTACACATTTGTATTCAGACATAGTTAGATGAGGATGAATAGTGATTTATTGCAGACATTAACTATTATAAATACAGTTCTACTTTTTACTTAAACTAAGTACTCGCTTCTTCTTACCGTCTTCCTCTGCACGTACCAGTGTACGTGAAGCTCCGAGGCACTGCCTTATTCTGTCATCAGAACAAGTAGCTTGTACTGTCACCAGTACAAGCTTCAGGGTGCCCCGTTACATGCCACGCGTCCCTTCACGTCCATTGTGCGTGCAGAGGAATGTAGGACGTGTTCAATTTGGAGCAGAATGCAAATCTGTATTAAATTCAATTAAGTCCTAAATTCATGTATGTAACGGGGACCCTGAAGCTTGTACCGGTGACAGTACAAGCTACTTATTCTGACGACAGAATAAGGCGGTGCCTCGGAACTTCACGTACACTCGTACGTGCAGAGGAAGACGGTAAGAAGAAGCGAGTACTTAGTTTAAGTAAAAAGTAGAACTGTATTTAGCATAGTTAATGTCTGCAATAAATCACTATTCATCTTCATCTAACTATGTCTGAATACAAATGTGTAAATCAACTACCTGCTCACCGCTCATTGCGTGCGTCTGTCGTGGCGCGTCTTCGTTGGTTGATATAATGGCCTATATCAACCAATTAGGAACTACTCGTAAGTGCTGCAGAATATTTGTCCTTATGACAATATTCTGAGAATATAACTCTTATAGTTATATTCTATTAACAATTTCTTATAAATTGTTAGGTAACGATTCACCCCGTTACATCACCCCCCCCCCTTAACCATCAGTCACTTTAGTGACTGGTTGACTAAAGGGATACTCCTTCCAAATCATCTGGGACGGGGTTTGCACTTGTTGGTCCGAGTCCACTTCCCAACATCTCATCGCATGATTAACAAGCCCATGCGATGTGCGAACAAGGCCGCCGAGAGCGCGTCTGCACGTCTCTGTGTGGACGCCGAAGCAGAAACAACAGCAACTGATGTCTCATCGGTTGCTGAAGCGACCCAGCCTGTGTCACATGGTGATATAGGCGCTGGTCATGAAGACACTCATGTCTTCACAGAGTACGAGCTCGGTGTTTCGTACTCTCGTGATACGGAAGACGGATCCGTATCGACGGCGATCGAATCCAAGCCGCCTGCCAAGCGTGGCATGGATGATGCTATGCGTCGTAGCATCTTTGGTTCATCTGATGCATCAGATGAACCATCGCCGAAGCGAAGGCGCTCGAGGTCGCGAGATTCGGGCGCTAACAGTGGTGTCGGTTCTCCTATGAACACCACTTCGCAACGAGGTGCCAGTCCTTCTGTTGGCACGTCGCAGGAAGAGCGGGGTCGCAATGTCTTGCGTCTCGCTCCTGAAAAGAAGGCATGGATGCCTCCAAAATCCGTCATGGATCACTTTCGGCGACGACGAGTGATCGTTATCGAACACGGTTGTTCGATTCGTCAAGGATCCATCACCTTGACCCCAGTGCGAAAAACTATCGCGCTGAACATGAATTCTTCATCGATGCTTTCTTTAGACATCGATGGTACAGTGGGAATCACAAACGTGATGGTCCCTCACTGCTTCAAGCGTGGAACCCTTACATCCATAACCTCGAGGATGTAGGTCGTGACGTTTGGAACGACAAACTTATCAAAGCTCGTGATAAGTTTGAAAAGCGATCCCCGACAGGTGCACGCTACAAGCTGCATCTTCTGTCAAGGGAGAAAGGATTACCCTGCCTCTCTTGGGGAGACTCGTGCCCATGTTGTGTAAACAACTCTGCGCGACCACCTAAGGAGGCTTACCTCCTTACTAGCCCGTGGTGGCGCGTACGTATCTCTACTGAGATGTACGAAGGGATTGACAACTTGAAATCCCTTTACGACCGTGCCGGGAAGACTTTCTCCGGCGGTCCTTCTGCGGCACAGGATGTGCCGCGTCGTGCTGCTCAACCAGACCCAGGACGTCAATCATCAGTTGGGAGCGGGGCTCTCAAGTGTACCAGAACGGGGGATAACCGCGCCACCGGACGAGATAACTCGTCCGACGTCCGTTCACGTCGCGGTGGTTCAACAGCTGCTCAAATAGATAGCGCTGGCCACCGCGAGAGTCCTCTAATGGAGGTGGAGGAGGAGGGAAGACGCTCTCCGCACGATCGTGGGGATCCGTGTGTTCCCGAGAGCTTTTTTGATCGCGTAACGCAAGAATTACGCGGCGATCTCGAACATGAGCGGGACAAGCGTCTCCAAATGGCGGACGCTGTCTTGAAGCATCGAGCTGAGTTTGCCTTTGCTCAGCTTAAGAACGAGAGAGCTCTGACATCTTTTCGTGACGAGCTAAGGGTAGCTCGTGGGATTGTTGACTGGTCTCGGGATGAGATAACTGCTCCTCAGACCCTTGTCGATGCCCACCATCGGGAGCACAAGGCTCTCTGCGAGATGCTTGGGCGCAAGGGCGTTCTTCATCGGAAGAAGCAGCGTACTGATGGTACGGCTTAAGCCGACCAACGTAAAACGTGGGATGCGGTCGCATCTTACGTGGTAACTCGATCGTGTATGCATTGCCTAGGCGGTCAATACACGAAATGGGCCGATGTACTTGGGTAGTAGTTTACTGCTACCCAAGTTAGTCACTACATGCTTTGGTAGATTAACCGTAGACAGTAGGACTAAGTCACCTTTATTAAATAAAAGAGTGTTTGCCCTTCCATTCTTGTCAGCGTTTTGCTTTTGCTTATCCACCGCTTCGGCGATGGAGTCTTGCACAAAACGGACTACCGTTTCACGAGCCAGTATGAACTCATCTGATGACTCGTTAGCTTCAGTGCGCTGTGAGCGCACTGCAGCAACATTAATCTTTTCTTCAGTGAGGGCTTCCGCACTCTCACTGGCATCATCTTCTTCGATATCGATGTTATCGATATCGGCATCAAACGCAATGACCTCTTCGTCAGAGCGTGATGAGCGTGAACCAAATCGGTTTTTGCTCGCGCGAGTCCCTCCCCCCCTTAAACCAGAGTTACACTCTAGTAAGGTGGGTACACGCGGATGGCGCAAGCCATTCACGTAAAACGGTGTATGTGTCGTGGACGCATGCACCGAGTTGTTGATGGCAAACTCTACCATTTGGCAAGAACTCACTCCAACTCTTAAAGGAGTGTCCGTATCCTCGAAGTATCTCTTCAAGGACACGATTGGCACGTTCCGTCTGACCATCTGACTCTGGATGATCAGATGTCGACATCTTCAAGCGCGTTCCGAGTGATTTGAACACGGAACGCCAGAAATCAGCAGTGAATCGTGGATCTCTGTCTGATACGAGTTCACGGGGCAACCCATTAAGTCGGAAGATGGTGTCAATCAAGACACAAGCACAGCCACTTGCCGTGATTGACTCTGGTACAGCCACAAGGTGTACCATTTTGCTGAATCTGTCAACAAATACGAGAATACCCGTATTCCCGCGTGCGTCTTTGGGTAACCCGAAGACGAAATCCATTGAGATGGATTCCCAGCACTCAGCCGGAACCGGTAGAGGCTGTAAAGGTGCACGCAGTGAAGGACTTGACTTCACTCGTTGACAGACTTCGCATGCGCGAACATACTTTCGCACAAACTGATACTGGCGGGGCCAGTAAAAGTCTCGACTCACCGTGAGATATGTTTTCTCTCGGCCACGATGTCCTCCTATAGGAGCATCGTGATACTTGAACATGATCCGCAAACGCAGATCAGTATCATCTGGAATGACAACACGTGGTGTGTCACCAGCAACGACTGTATAATACAGTAAACCGTTGCGAGTAGTGTATCGATCTGATGCAGATCGATACGCAGGCGACAATCGTTTCAACGATTCTCGAGGTGGTTGGGAGAGATGTGTCAACAACTTCACTATCTCACCATCTTGGGCGTATGCCCGCCTCACATCATCATACAACGTTGTAGAAGGGACTGAGGACGTCATTACCGCAACAGTGACTGTCTCACTGTTGGGTTTCGCGACTGTTTCAAAGTCGGGACGACGTGAGAGTGCATCAGCGACGACATTAAGTCGTCCTGGTTTGTACTCGACCGTAAAGTTGTATTCTGCAAAGAATGACAACCACCGCGCCATTCGTTGTGAAAGGTGCGGGCTGTTCACTGCCGTGCGTAATGACGCATGGTCAGTGTAAACAATGAAGGGTCTATCCCCTAATAGATAGACTCTGAACTTCGCGAGTGCATACTTCATGGCAAGGAGTTCCTTGTCATGCACTGGATAGTTCCGCTCAGCTGGTTGCAGCTGACGCGACTGATAGCAGACGACGCGTTCAACGCCTTCTAGGTCGTACTGCATTAATGCACAGCCGATTGCGAAATCGCTGGCATCACAGACCACATGAAATGGCCTGTCCTGATCGGCAATTGCTAGGACTGGGGATTGTATCAAGCTCTGCTTAATACCCTCAAAGGAGCGCTGACATTCAGCGTTCCATAACCACCTCTCGTTCTTTTTCAACAAACGAGAGAGGTGCACAGTCATCTCGGCGTAATTGCGTGAATACTTATGCAAATACGCCGCTAGCCCAAGGAATTTTCGAAGACCTTTGACATCAACCGGCACAGGCCAGTCGGTGATCGCCTTGATCATTTCGGGATCAGGACGTACACCGTTCTTACCAACGATGCACCCAAGAAGTGGTATTTCGCTTGCTGCAAATATACACTTCTTGAGGTTTGCATACAATTGATGCTTTCGCATGATTGTAAGAACCTGTCGGACGTGGTACCTGTGAACCTTAACGTCCGACTTTCCATCCATAGCTCGACTATGGATGAATACGTCATCGAAATAACTCGGCGCGAATTCTCGTACTGGTCTCAACAGATGTGATACACATCTGTTGAACGTGGCAGGGGCATTACTAAGCCCTTGTGGCATTACTAGCCACTCCCAGAGCATGCCGCTAGGCGTGCTAACTGCGGTATAGGGTATATCCCGTTCTCGCATAAGGATTTGATAGAAGCCATCCATCAAATCCATGGACGAAAAGATGGTACTCTTTGACATACCATCAATGATTACGTCCTTCCTCGGTATCGGCGTCTGAGCCGGTACCGTTGCAGCATTCAACTTGTTAAATGCATGCACTATCCGCCACCCTCCTGTTGCTTTTCGCACACAGAAGGTCGGAGAGCTATTTGGGGAAGTTGATTCCCATACATGGCCCGCAGCTAAACGATCGGCAAATAACTTGTCGATCGCAAGTACTTGTTCACGAGGCAGTGGCCACTGCTTCATGACACAGTACTTCGAGCCTGGTTTAAGCTCGACCTCGTGTCGAATACCTTTATCCTTCGGTAATTCGCACGGAACAGTTTCAGGGAATACATCCTTGAATTCAACCAAATCTTCATAGAGAGGATTAGTCTTGAGCGATTCCCACGATTGGGAGTCATATCGCTCAATTCGTGTCTTTTCATCTAGGACACTCTCGTCCATAGATGAACTACTGAGAACCCTATCGTTCTCAGTAAACACTGTCGCTGACGACGAGTACGCAGATCTGCTTGACTTTGACACTACGCAGATCACGCAAGAACCTTTTATGTTCGAGCGTTGGCAACTGAGTGATCTCCGAAGTCAACTTCGGAGGCGCAATCAGATCAAGTGTATAAGCGCCTACACTTGACCCGTTATTGACTATGACATTCAATGTCTCTGTCAGTTCCTGGGGACTTATTCCCTCAGGCTTCGAAGGACTTATTCCTTCGGCTTCCCGGGGACTTATTCCCGAGGGTTTCGGGGAACTTATTTCCGCCGTATTTGTAATATCGTAACTTATTACCTTAACTTCCTCTAGCTGTGGTTGCGCAACCACAGCGAGATCCTCTACGAAAGACTTTCCAGTCGATCTAGGATTATCGTTTCGCTTAACCTGAGCGATCGATTGTTGCTCTTCTAGATGTTCCCCGCTAGGGACACATCTTTGTCCCGGTCCACTCGACTTATCCGAGTGGTGGACCTTCGTCGCAGCCTGTGTTTCCTCACAGCCGCCGGAACTTTGCTCCGAAGTGTAACCGTTTGGTACACTAAGGTTTCGGGCAGTCGTACTAACGACCGTACCACAAGTGAGGCCATCGCACTCACTCGTAGTACATCCACACGCTTGTGGACGCTCCAAAACGTTCATCAGATGGCCATCTGATGAACAAGCGGCAGGCATCGTTACTGTTCGATGTTGCCAGTTTACCCGTGGTTCGTACCTTCTGAGCCACGGTATTCCAAGGATGACATCAGAGTTGTCATCCAAATCCAATGCGACAAAGTCATCATCATATTGGTTATCTTCTAGCGTATAGTGGATCTTCACTATACGCTTCATGACGGTTACGGATGCGCCTGTCGCAAGACGTACCGTCATCCTCGTAGGAGGTGTGTCACATTCACTGAATTTAAAGTGACCATCTTCTAGCGATTGGCGTCGCACAAAATTGTTGGACGCCCCACAATCGACTAGAGCTCGAAGGGACAACTTATTCGTCACTTCGAGTTTCAAGGTAATGAGTGAGACCTCATTACCTAGAGCAGCAACGCACAACGTTTGTGTGTTGGGAGCAACCTTCATCAAGAGGCCTACATATTCTCTTGACGTTGCTGGACCAGTAGGGTGCTCCGCACCTACTGATCCTGTCCGTTTTTTGACGGTCCATCCCGTTGTTGCGTCTTTGCACCAACAGCGGACCCGCGTCCCTGCTCCTTTCTCATGGGTGGACGGTCACTACGCCCAGTGTTGCGAGACACTGGACGAGGGGCACTACACTCGTAAGCGTAGTGTCCTGTCTTTTGACATCTGTTGCATCTCTGCAACTTCTTGTAGTCTGTAGAGCGAGCCTTATCGCTCTCTACATAACAGAGTTCCATCGGCTCTGGACCTCCGCTGTCATATCGTCTCGGCTGACGATATGATGTCGAGCTGGCGCGAGCCTGTCTCAGACTGAAGTCTTCTTGTTCCGCAATGGAAATGGCTTGTTCTAGTGAATCTAGTTCAAGTCGGAACAGGTGAGTCTTGACGGGACCATCCGCAAGACCCTGCATGAACACCGAAACCAACGTGTGTTCACCAACCGGGTTGGAACTTATACAACTCGTGAGATGTCGTATATGTGGCGCGTAAGCGTGCACATCACGCTTACCTTGTTTGAGCTTCAAGAGTTCGGTTTGAGCTCTGAACTCAGCTCCAGGCGGTTCAAACGTTTGCCTGAGCCGCGACTTGAAGACTTCCAACGACCCAAACGCATGTGGGTCGTGCAACTTGAGCCCCAGTGCCCAAGTCTTGGCACGTCCTGCCAGAATTGACTGGGCAAATGCAACTTGCATTTCCCCGTCGTCGATGCGACGCGCCCTTATGGCGTCATCCAATTCGATGAGCCATCTTAAGAGGGAGTCCTCTTCGACTCCCCTATACTTAGAGATGTCAATCTTCAAGGTCTCGGGTCGACGCGAGTGCATCGACCCACCAGCAGCAGCCTGCTGCTGTCTCAACAGTTTAAACTGTTGAACACCCTGTTCTCTCAACAACTCTGATTGTTGAGAGCCTTGTTGGTGAAGCAAGGCTACTTTCTCGCGTTCAGCGTCAAGTTCATTTTGAATGAACTTGGCGATAGTAGCATGTTGGGCATCTCTCTTGAGAGCCTCTAGCATGACGCTAACAGCATGGAATGCCCATGGTTGAACCCATCCGTTCAACCGCATCCCATTCGACATCGCTCAAATGGGAGTAGCCGTCACGCGTAGCGTGAAAGCTTTGGTCATCTTCATCATCCAACATATTCATGTTAGATGTGAACGTGGTCCTTGGACGGACTACGAAGTGCTACCAGGTATAACGGGGCACCCTGAAGCTTGTACTGGTAACAGTACAAGCTACTTATTCTGACGACAGAATAAGGCGGTGCCTCGGAACTTCACGTACACTCGTACGTGCAGAGGAAGACGGTAAGAAGAAGCGAGTACTTAGTTTAAGTAAAAAGTAGAACTGTATTTATAATAGTTAATGTCTGCAATAAATCACTATTCATCCTCATCTAACTATGTCTGAATACAAATGTGTAAATCAACTACCTGCTCACCACTCATTGCGTGCGTCTGTCGTGGCGCGTCTTCGTTGGTTGATGTAATGGCCTATATCAACCAATTAGGAACCACTCGTAAGTGCTGCAGAATATTTGTCCTTATGACAATATTCTGAGAATATAACTCTTATAGTTATATTCTATTAACAATTTCTTATAAATTGTTAGGTAACGATTCACCCCGTTACATCACCCCCCCTTAACCATCAGTCACTTTAGTGACTGATTGACTAAATGGATACTCGTCCCAAATCATTTGGGACAGGGTTTGCACTTGTTGGTCCGAGTCCACTTTCCAACATCTCATCGCATGGTTAACAAGCCCATGCGATGCGCGAACAAGGCCGCCGAGAGCGCGTCTGCACGTCTCTGTGTGGACGCCGAAGCAGAAACAACAGCAACTGATGTCTCATCGGTTGCTGAAGCGACCCAGCCTGTGTCACATGGTGATATAGGCGCTGGTCATGAAGACACTCATGTCTTCACAGAGTACGAGCTCGGTGTTTCGTACTCTCGTGATACGGAAGACGGATCCGTATCGACGGCGATCGAATCCAAGCCGCCTGCCAAGCGTGGCATGGATGATGCTATGCGTCGTAGCATCTTTGGTTCATCTGATGCATCAGATGAACCATCGCCGAAGCGAAGGCGCTCGAGGTCGCGAGATTCGGGCGCTAACAGTGGTGTCGGTTCTCCTATGGACACCACTTCACAGCGAGGTGCCAGTACTTCTGTCGGCACGTCGCAGGAAGAGCGGGACCGCAATGTGTTGCGTCTCGCTCCTGAAAAGAAGGCATGGATGCCTCCAAAATCCGTCATGGATCACTTGTCGGCGACGACGAGTGATCGTTATCGAACACGGTTGTTCGATTCGTCAAGGATCCATCACCTTGACCCCAGTGCGAAAAACTATCTCGCTGAACATGAATTCTTCATCGATGCTTTCTTTAGACATCGATGGTACAGTGGGAATCACGAACGTGATGGTCCCGCACTGCTTCAAGCGTGGAACGCTTACATCCATAACCTTGAGGATGTAGGTCGTGACGTTTGGAACGACAAACTTATCAAAGCTCGTGATAAGTTTGAAAAGCGAACCCCGACAGGTGCACGCTACAAGCTGCATCGTCTGTCAAGGGAGAAAGGATAACCGTGCCTCTCTTGGGGAGACTCGTGCCCATGTTGTGTGAACAACTCTGCACGAGCACCTAAGGAGGCTTACCTCCTTACCAGCCCGTGGTGGCGCGTACGTGTCTCTACTGAGATGTACGAAGGGATTGACAACTTGAAATCCCTTTACGACCGTGCCGGGAAGACTTTCTCCGGCGGCCTTCTGCGGCACAGGATGTGCCGCGTCGTACTGCTCAACCAGACCCAGTACGTCGATCATCAGTTGGGAGCGGGGCTCCCAAGAATCCCAGGACGGGGATAGCCGCGCCACCGGACGAGATAACTCGTCCGACGTCCGTTCACGTCGCGGTGGTTCAACAGCTGCTCAACTAGATAGCGCTGGCCACCGCGAGAGTCCTCTAATGGAGGTGGAGGAGGAGGGAAGACGCTCTCCGCACGATCGTGGGGATCCGTGTGTTCCCGAGAGCTTCTTTGATCGCGTAACGCAAGAATTACGCGGCGATCTCGAACATGAGCGGAATAGGCGTCTCCAAATGGCGGACACTGCCTCGAAGCATCGAGCTGAGTTTGCCTTTGCTCAGCTTGAGAACGAGAGATCTCTGACATCTCTTCGTGAGGAGCTAAGGGTAGCTCGTGGGATTGTTGATCGGTCTCGGGATGAGATAACTGCTCCTCAGACCCTTGTTGATGCCCACCATCGGGAGCACAAGGCTCTCTGCGAGATGCTTGTGCGCAAGGGCGTTCTTCATCGGAAGAAGCAGCGTACTGATGGTACGGCTTAAGCCGACCAACGTAAAACGTGGGATGCGTTCGCATCTTCTTACGTGGCAGTTCGATCGTGTATGCATTGCCTAGGCGGTCAATACACGAAATGGGCCGATGTACTTGGGTAGTAGTTTACTTCTACCCAAGTTAGTCACTACAAGCTTTGGCAGATTAACCGTAGACAGTAGGACTAAGTCACCTTTATTAAATAAAAGAGTGTTTGCCCTTCCATTCCTGTCAGCGTTTTGCCTTTGCTTATCCACCGCTTCGGAGATGGAGTCTTGCACAAAACGGACTACCGTTTCACGAGCCAGTATGAACTCATCGGATGACTCGTTAGATTCAGTGCGCTGTGAGTGCACTGCAGCAACATTAATCTTTTCTTCAGTGAGGGCTTCCGCACTCTCACTGGCATCATCTTCTTCGACGTCGATGTTATCGATATCGGCATCAAACGCAATGACCTCATCGTCAGAGCGTGATGAGCCTGAACCAAATCGGTTTTTGCTCGCGCGAGTCCCTCCCCCCCTTAAACCAGAGTTACACTCTAGTAAGGTGGGTACACGCGGATGGCGTAAGCCATTCACGTAAAACGGTGTATGTGTCGTGGACGCATGCACCGAGTTGTTGATGGCAAACTCTACCGTTGGCAAGAACTCACTCCAACTCTTGTAGGAGTGTACGTATCCTCGAAGTATCTCTTCATCTCGGCGTAATTGCGTGAATACTTATGCAAATACGCCGCTAGCCCAAGGAATTTTCGAAGACCTTTGACATCAACCGGCACAGGTCATTCGGTGATCGCCTTGATCATTTCGGGATCAGGACGTACACCGTTCTTACCAACGATGCACCCAAGAAGTGGTATTTCGCTTGCTGCAAATATACACTTCTTGAGGTTTGCATACAATTGATGCTTTCGCATGATTGTAAGAACCTGTCGGACGTGGTACCTGTGAACCTTAACGTCCGACTTTCCATCCATAGCTCGACTATGGATGAATACGTCATCGAAATAACTCGGCGCGAATTCTCGTACTGGTCTCAACAGATGTGATACACATCTGTTGAACGTGGCAGGGGCATTACTAAGCCCTTGTGGCATTACTAGCCACTCCCAGAGCATGCCGCTAGGCGTGCTAACTGCGGTATAGGGTATATCCCGTTCTCGCATAAGGATTTGATAGAAGCCATCCATCAAATCCATGGACGAAAAGATGGTACTCTTTGACATACCATCAATGATTACGTCCTTCCTCGGTATCGGCGTCTGAGCCGGTACCGTTGCAGCGTTCAATTTGTTGAACGCGTGCACTATCCGCCACCCTCCTGTTGCTTTTCGCACACAGAAGGTCGGAGAGCTATGTGGGGAAGTTGATTTCCTCACATGGCCCGCAGCTAAACGATCGGCAAAGAACTTGTCGATCGCAAGTACTTGTTCACGAGGCAGTGGCCACTGCTTCATGACACAGTACTTCGAGCCTGGTTTAAGCTCGACCTCGTGTCGAATACCTTTATCCTTCGGTAATTCGCACGGAACAGTTTCAGGGAATACATCCTTGAATTCAACCAAATCTTCATAGAGAGGATTTTTCTTGAGCGATTCCCACGATTGGGAGTCATATCGCTCAATTCGTGTCTTTTCATCTAGGACACTCTCGTCCATAGATGAACTACTAAGAACTCTCTCGTTCTCAGTAAACACTGTCGCTGACGACGAGTACGCAGATCTGCTTGACTTTGACACTACGCAGATCACGCAAGAACCTTTTATGTTCGAGCGTTGGCAACTGAGTGATCTCCGAAGTCAACTTCGGAGGCGCAATCAGATCAAGTGTATAAGCGCCTACACTTGACCCGTTATTGACTATGACATTCAATGTCTCTGTCAGTTCCTGGGGACTTATTCCCTCAGGCTTCGAAGGACTTATTCCTTCGGCTTCCCGGGGACTTATTCCCGCGGGTTTCGGGGAACTTATTTCCGCCGTATTTGTAATATCGTAACTTATTCCCTTAACTTCCTCTAGCTGTGGTTGCGCAACCACAGCGAGATCCTCTACGAAAGACTTTCCAGTCGATCTAGGATTATCGTTTCGCTTAACCTGAGCGATCGATTGTTTCTCTTCTAGATGTTCCCCGCTAGGGATACATCTTTGTCCCAGTCCACCCGACTTATTCGAGTGGTGGACCTTCGGCGCAGCCTGTGTTTCCTCACAGCCGCCGGAACTTTGCTCCGAAGTGTAACCGTTTGGTACACTAAGGTTTTGTGCAGTCGTACTAACGACCGTACCACAAGTGAGGCCATCGCACTCACTCGTAGTACATCCACACGCTTGTGGACGCTCCAAAACGTTCATCAGATGGCCATCTGATGAACAAGCGGCAGGCATCGTTACTGTTCGATGTTGCCAGTTTACCCGTGGTTCGTACCTTCTGAGCCACGGTATTCCAAGGATGACATCAGAGTTGTCATCCAAATCCAATGCGACAAAGTCATCATCATATTGGTTATCTTCTAGCGTATAGTGGATCTTCACTATACGCTTCATGACGGTTACGGATGCGCCTGTCGCAAGACGTACCGTCATCCTCGTAGGAGGTGTGTCACATTCACTGAATTTAAAGTGACCATCTTCTAGCGATTGGCGTCGCACAAAATTGTTGGACGCCCCACAATCGACTAGAGCTCGAAGGGACAACTTATTCGTCACTTCGAGTTTCAAGGTAATGAGTGAGACCTCATTACCTAGAGCAGCAACGCACAACGTTTGTGTGTTGGGAGCAACCTTCATCAAGAGGCCTACATATTCTCTTGACGTTGCTGGATCAGTAGGGTGCTCCGCACCTACTGATCCTGTCCGTTTTTTGACGGTCCATCCCGTTGTTGCGTCTTTGCACCAACAGCGGACCCGCGTCCCTGCTCCTTTCTCATGGGTGGACGGTCACTACGCCCAGTGTCGCGAGACACTGGACGAGGGGCACTACACTCGTAAGCGTAGTGTCCTGTCTTTTGACATCTGTTGCATCTCTGCAACTTCTTGTAGTCTGTAGAGCGAGCCTTATCGCTCTCTACGTAACAGAGTTCCATCGGCTCTGGACCTCCGCTGTCATATCGTCTCGGCTGACGATATGATGTCGAGCTGGCGCGAGCCTGTCTCAGACTGAAGTCTTCTTGTTCCGCAATGGAAATGGCTTGTTCTAGTGAATCTAGTTCAAGCCGGAACAGGTGAGTCTTGACGGGACCATCCGCAAGACCCTGCATGAACACCGAAACCAACGTGTGTTCATCCACCGGATTAGAACTTAAACAACTCGTGAGATGTCGTATATGTGGCGCGTAAGCGTGCACATCACGCTTACCTTGTTTGAGCTTCAAGAGTTCGGTTTGAGCTCTGAACTCAGCTCTAGGCGGTTCAAACGTTTGTCTGAGCCGCGACTTGAAGACTTCCAACGACCCAAACGCATATGGGTCGTGCAACTTGAGCCCCAGTGCCCAAGTCTTGGCACGTCCTGCCAGATTTGACTGGGTAAATGCAACTTGCATATCCCCGTCGTCGATGCGACGCGCCCTTATGGCGTCATCCAATTCGACGAACCATCTCAAGAGGGATTCCTCTTCGACTCCCCTATACTTGGAGATGTCAATCTTCAAGGTCTCGGGTCGACGCGAGTGCATCGACCCACCAGCAGCAGCCTGCTGCTGTCTCAACAGTTTAAACTGTTGAACACCCTGTTCTCTTAACAACTCTGATTGTTGAGAGCCTTGTTGGTGAAGCAAGGCTACTTTCTCGCGTTCAGCGTCAAGTTCATTTTGAATGAACTTGGCGATAGTAGCATGTTGGGCATCTCTCTTGAGAGCCTCTAGCATGACGCTAACAGCATGGATGCCCATGGTTGAACCCATCCGTTCAACCGCATCCCATTCGACATCGCTCAAATGGGAGTAGCCGTCACGCGTAGCGTGAAAGCTTTGGTTATCTTCATCATCCAACATATTCATGTTAGATGTGAACGTGGTCCTTGGACGGACTACGAAGTGCTACCAGGTGTAACGGGGCACCCTAAAGCTTGTACTGGTGACAGTACAAGCTACTTATTCTGATGACAGAATAAGGCGGTGCCTCGGAACTTCACGTACACTCGTACGTGCAGAGGAAGACGGTAAGAAGAAGCGAGTACTTAGTTTAAGTAAAAAGTAGAACTGTATTTATAATAGTTAATGTCTGCAATAAATCACTATTTATCTTCATCTAACTATGTCTGAATACAAATGTGTAAATCAACTACCTGCTCACCACTCATTGCGTGCGTCTGTCGTGGCGCGTCTTCGTTGGTTGATATAATGGCATATATCAACCAATTAGGAACTGCTCGTAAGTGCTGCAGAATATTTGTCCTTATGACAATAATCTGAGAATATAACTCTTATAGTTATATTCTATTAACAATTTCTTATAAATTGTTATGTAACGATTCATCCCGTTACATCACCCCCCCTTAACCATCAGTCACTTTAGTGACTGATTGACTAAATGGATACTCGTCCCAAATCATTTGGGACAGGGTTTGCACTTGTTGGTCCGAGTCCACTTTCCAACATCTCATCGCATGGTTAACAAGCCCATGCGATGCGCGAACAAGGCCGCCGAGAGCGCGTCTGCACGTCTCTGTGTGGACGCCGAAGCAGAAACAACAGCAACTGATGTCTCATCGGTTGCTGAAGCGACCCAGCCTGTGTCACATGGTGATACAGGCGCTGGTCATGAAGACACTCATGTCTTCACAGAGTACGAGCTCGGTGTCTCGTACTCTCCTGATACGGAAGACGGATCCGTATCGACGGCGATCGAATCCAAGCCGCCTGCCAAGCGTGGCATGGATGATGCTTTGCGTCGTAGCATCTTTGGTTCATCTGATTCATCAGATGAACCATCGCCGAAGCGAAGGCGCGAGACTCGGGTGCTAACAGTGGTGTCGGTTCTCCTATGGACACCACTTCACAGCGAGGTGCCAGTACTTCTGTCGGCACGTCGCAGGAAGAGCGGGACCGCAATGTCTTGCGTCTCGCTCCTGAAAAGAAAGCATGGCTGCCTCCAAAGTCGTTCATGGATCGCTTGTCGGCGACGACTAGTGATCGTTATCGAACACGGTTGTTCGATTCGTCAAGGATCCATCACCTTGACCCCAGTGCGAAAAACTATCGCGCTGAACATGAATTCTTCATCGATGCTTTCTTTAGACATCGATGGTACAGTGGGAATCACGAACGTGATGGTCCCGCACTGCTTCAAGCGTGGAACGCTTACATCCATAACCTTGAGGATGTAGGTCGTGACGTTTGGAACGACAAACTTATCAAAGCTCGTGATAAGTTTGAAAAGCGAACCCCGACAGGTGCACGCTACAAGCTGCATAGTCTGTCAAGGGAGAAAGGATAACCGTGCCTCTCTTCGGGAGACTCGTGCCCATGTTGTGTGAAAAACGCTGCACGAGCACCTAAGGAGGCTTACCTCCTTACCAGCCCGTGGTGGCGCGTACGTGTCTCTACTGAGATGTACGAAGGGATTGACAACTTGAAATCCCTTTACGACCGTGCCGGGAAGACTTTCTCCGGCGGTCCTTCTGCGGCACAGGATGTGCCGCGTCGTACTGCTCAACCAGACCCAGTACGTCGATCATCAGTTGGGAGCGGGGCTCCCAAGAATCCCAGGATGGGGATAGCCGCGCCACCGGACGAGATAACTCGTCCGACGTCCGTTCACGTCGCGGTGGTTCAACAGCTGCTCAACTAGATAGCGCTGGCCACCGCGAGAGTCCTCTAATGGAGGTGGAGGAGGAGGAAAGACGCTCTCCGCACGATCGTGGGGATCCGTGTGTTCCCGAGAGCTTCTTTGATCGCGTAACGCAAAAATTACGCGGCGATCTCGAACAAGAGCGGAATAGGCGTCTCCAAATGGCGGACACTGCCTCGAAGCATCGAGCTGAGTTTGCCTTTGCTCAGCTTGAGAACGAGAGATCTCTGACATCTCTTCGTGAGGAGCTAAGGGTAGCTCGTGGGATTGTTGATCGGTCTCGGGATGAGATAGCTGCTCTCCAGACCCTTGTCGATGCCCACCATCGGGAGCACAAGGCTCTCTGCGAGATGCTTGAGCGCAAGGGCGTTCTTCATCGGAAGAAGCAGCGTACTGATGGTACGGCTTAAGCCGACCAACGTAAAACGTGGGATGCGGTCGCATCTTACGTGGTAACTCGATCGTGTATGCATTGCCTAGGCGGTGTAATACACGAAATGGGCCGATGTACTTGGGTAGTAGTTTACTGCTACCCAAGTTAGTCACTACATGCTTTGATAGATTAACCGTAGACAGTAGGACTAAGTCACCGTTACTAAATAAAAGAGTGTTTGCCCTTCCATTCTTATCAGCGTTTTGCTTTTGCTTATCCACCGCTTCCGCGATGGAGTCTTGCACAAAACGGACTACCGTTTCACGAGCCAGTATGAACTCATCTGCTGACTCGTTAGCTTCAGTGCGCTGTGAGCGCATTGCAGCAACATCAACCTTTTCTTCAGTGAGGGCTTCCGCACTCTCACTGGCATCATCTTCTTCGATATCGATGTTATCGATATCGGCATCAAACGCAATGACCTCTTCGTCAGAGCGTGATGAGCGTGAACCAAATCGGTTTTTGCTCGCGCGAGTCCCTCCCCCCCTTAAACCAGAGTTACACTCTAGTAAGGTGGGTACACGCGGATGGCGCAAGCCATTCACGTAAAACGGTGTATGTGTCGTGGACGCATGCACCGAGTTGTTAATGGCAAACTCTACCATTAGCAAAAACTCACTCCAACTCTTAAAGGAGTGTACGTATCCTCGAAGTATCTCTTCAAGGACACGATTGGCACGTTCCGTCTGACCATCTGACTCTGGATGATCAGATGTCGACATCTTCAAGCGCGTTCCGAGTGATTTGAACACGGAACGCCAGAAATCAGCAGTGAATCGTGGATCTCTGTCTGATACGAGTTCACGGGGCAACCCATTAAGTCGGAAGATGGTGTCGATAAAGACACAAGCACAGCCACTTGCCGTGATTGACTCTGGTACAGCCACAAGGTGTACCATTTTGCTGAATCTGTCAACAAATACGAGAATACCCGTATTCCCGCGTGCGTCTTTGGGTAACCCGAAGACGAAATCCATTGAGATGGATTCCCAGCACTCAGCCGGAACCGGTAGAGGCTGTAAAGGTGCACGCAGTGAAGGACTTGACTTCACTCGTTGACAGACTTCGCATGCGCGAACATACTTTCGCACAAACTGATACTGGCGGGGCCAGTAAAAGTCTCGACTCACCGTGAGATATGTTTTCTCTCGGCCACGATGTCCTCCTATAGGAGCATCGTGATACTCGAACATGATCCGCAAACGCAGATCAGTATCATCTGGAATGACAACACGTGGTGTGTCACCAGAAACGGCTGTATAATACAGTAAACCGTTGCGAGTAGTGTATCGATCTGATGCAGATCGATACGCAGGCGACAATCGTTTCAACGATTCTCGAGATGGTTGGGAGAGATGTGTCAACAACTTCACTATCTCACCATCTTGGGCATACGCCCGCCTCACATCATCATACAACGTTGTAGAAGGGACTGAGGACGTCATTACCGCAACAGTGACTGTCTCACTGTTGGGTTTCGCGACTGTTTCAAAGTCGGGACGACGTGAGAGTGCATCAGCGACGACATTAAGTCGTCCTGGTTTGTACTCGACCGTAAACTTGTATTCTGCAAAGAATGACAACCACCGCGCCATTCGTTGTGAAAGGTGCGGGCTGTTCACTGCCGTGCGTAATGACGCATGGTCAGTGTAAACAATGAAGGGTCTATCCCCTAATAGATAGACTCTGAACTTCGCGAGTGCATACTTCATGGCAAGGAGTTCCTTGTCATGCACTGGATAGTTCCGCTCAGCTGGTTGCAGCTGACGCGACTGATAGCAGACGACGCGTTCAACGCCTTCAAGATCGTACTGCATTAATGCACAGCCGATTGCGAAATTCGCTGGCATCACAGACCACATGAAATGGCCTGTCCTGATCGGCAATTGCTAGGACTGGGGATTGTATCAAGCTCTGCTTAATACCATCAAAGGAGCGCTGACATTCAGCGTTCCATAACCACCTCTCGTTCTTTTTCAACAAACGAGAGAGGTGCACAGTCATCTCGGCGTAATTGCGTGAATACTTATGCAAATACGCCGCTAGCCCAAGGAATTTTCGAAGACCTTTGACATCAACCGGCACAGGCCAGTCGGTGATTGCCTTGATCATTTCGGGATCAGGACGTACACCGTTCTTACCAACGATGCACCCAAGAAGTGGTATTTCGCTTGCTGCAAATATACACTTCTTGAGGTTTGCATACAATTGATGCTTTCGCATGATTGTAAGAACCTGTCGGACGTGGTACCTGTGAACCTTAACGTCCGACTTTCCATCCATAGCTCGACTATGGATGAATACGTCATCGAAATAACTCGGCGCGAATTCTCGTACTGGTCTCAACAGATGTGATACACATCTGTTGAACGTGGCAGGGGCATTACTAAGCCCTTGTGGCATTACTAGCCATTCCCAGAGCATGCCGCTAGGCGTGCTAACTGCGGTATAGGGTATATCCCGTTCTCGCATAAGGATTTGATAGAAGCCATCCATCAAATCCATGGACGAAAAGATGGTACTCTTTGACATACCATCAATGATTACGTCCTTCCTCGGTATCGGCGTCTGAGCCGGTACCGTTGCAGCGTTCAATTTGTTGAACGCGTGCACTATCCGCCACCCTCCTGTTGCTTTTTGCACAAGGAAGGTCGGAGAGCTATGTGGGGAAGATGATTCCCATACATGGCCCGCAGCTAAACGATCGGCAAATAACTTGTCGATCGCAAGTACTTGTTCACGAGGCAGTGGCCACTGCTTCATGACACAGTACTTCGAGCCTGGTTTAAGCTCGACCTCGTGTCGAATACCTTTATCCTTCGGTAATTCGCACGGAACAGTTTCAGGGAATACATCCTTGAATTCAACCAAATCTTCATAGAGAGGATTAGTCTTGAGCGATTCCCACGATTGGGAGTCATATCGCTCAATTCGTGTCTTTTCATCTAGGACACTCTCGTCCATAGATGAACTACTGAGAACCCTATCGTTCTCAGTAAACACTGTCGCTGACGACGAGTACGCAGATCTGCTTGACTTTGACACTACGCAGATCACGCAAGAACCTTTTATGTTCGAGCGTTGGCAACTGAGTGATCTCCGAAGTCAACTTCGGAGGCGCAATCAGATCAAGTGTATAAGCGCCTACACTTGACCCGTTATTGACTATGACATTCAATGTCTCTGTCAGTTCCTGGGGACTTATTCTCTCAGGCTTCGAAGGACTTATTCCTTCGGCTTCCCGGGGACTTATTCCCGCGGGTTTCGGGGAACTTATTTCCGCCGTATTTGTTATATTGGGACTTATTCCCTTAACTTCCTCTAGCTGGGGTTGCGCAACCACAGCGAGATCCTCTACGAAAGACTCTCCAGTCGATCTAGGATTATCGCTTCGCTTAACCTGAGCGATCGATTGTTTCTCTTCTAGATGTTCCCCGCTAGGGATACATCTTTGTCCCAGTCCACCCGACTTATTCGAGTGGTGGACCTTCGGCGCAGCCTGTGTTTCCTCACAGCCGCCGGAACTTTGCTCCGAAGTGTAACCGTTTGGTACACTAAGGTTTTGTGCAGTAGTACTAACGACCGTACCACAAGTGAGGCCATCGCACTCACTCGTAGTACATCCACACGCTTGTGGACGCTCCAAAACGTTCATTAGATGGCCATCTGATGAACAAGCGGCAGGCATCGTTACTGTTCGATGTTGCCAGTTTACCCGTGGTTCGTACCTTCTGAGCCACGGTATTCCAAGGATGACATCAAATTTGTCATCCAAATCCAATGCGACAAAGTCATCATCATATTGGTTATCTTCTAGCGTATAGTGGATCTTCACTATACGCTTCATGACGGTTACGGATGCGCCTGTCGCAAGACGTACCGTCATCCTCGTAGGGTGTGTGTCACATTCACTGAATTTAAAGTGACCATCTTCTAGCGATTGGCGTCGCACAAAATTGTTGGACGCCCCACAATCGACTGGAGCTCGAAGGGACAACTTATTCGTCACTTCGAGTTTCAAGGTAATGAGTGAGACCTCATTACCTAGAGCAGCAACGCACAACGTTTGTGTGTTGGGAGCAACCTTCATCAAGAGGCCTACATATTCTCTTGACGTTGCTGGACCAGTAGGGTGCTCCGCACCTACTGATCCTGTCCGTTTTTTGACGGTCCATCCCGTTGTTGCGTCTTTGCACCAACAGCGGACCCGCGTCCCTGCTCCTTTCTCATGGGTGGACGGTCACTACGCCCAGTGTCGCGAGACACTGGACGAGGGGCACTACACTCGTAAGCGTAGTGTCCTGTCTTTTGACATCTGTTGCATCTCTGCAACTTCTTGTAGTCTGTAGAGCGAGCCTTATCGCTCTCTACATAACAAAGTTCCATCGGCTCTGGACCTCCGTTGTCATATCGTCTCGGCTGACGATATGATGTCGAGCTGGCGCGAGCCTGTCTCAGACTGAAGTCTTCTTGTTCCGCAATGGAAATGGCTTGTTCTAGTGAATCTAGTTCAAGTCGGAACAGGTGAGTCTTGACGGGACCATCCGCAAGACCCTGCATGAACACC